AAGTATACATTAGAACGAAGAAATTTGAGTCATAATTTTAACTCCGTACTATAGCTTTTATAAAAATCGATGTTTATAATAAAAAAATAAGGATCTATAAGTTATTCTATAGCAAATATTTATATAATTGTATAAAAAATTCATTTATATTAATCTCTCTATTTTAAAGTAAAAGTATTTTCTTTTTAAGCTGTAGCTCTCCTTTCTATCTTCAAAATTACCTAACGAACTAACTTACAGCAATTATAACAAATCTTATTTAGAAAGCTTATAAGTTTTTTTCGCATAATATGCCTAGCCTTTAATTTAGCTATTTGAAAAACTGAGTTATAACTTATAAGACTGTATTTCCGCGTTAACTTTGGTGGTGTTTTTAATATTTTTTAAATATTAAAAAAAAAGGAAACCAACCCAAAACTTTTATAAATTATATAGAGTTGGAAAATTCGAAACGTTTGAACTTTTTAGTTAAGTTCTTATATGTATTAAACGAATAGATATATATTTTTTTGCTTAAACTGCAATAATAATTTGAATCCCAAGTTTTTAAAAGAGGTCAAGATATATATAACGTACGTTTCAAGGTCAGTTAAAAGGAATTATTGAGTAACCTGAAGAAGATAATGTGTATCAAAATTTTTTTTAACAAAAATATAATAAGCGCATCAGGCAACAAATACTCTTTTACATGTCAGTACTTAACAAAGCATAGACGGAAAGGGATGCCAGTTTTGGTTCGTGTTTCCATTTCCAGTGTTAGATACGTGACGTGGTTTGCGTTTAGTCCTTTAAAAGTTAGTTACTTCTCATAGCGATTGTGTAATGATCTTTTCTTTTCGGACAAGACACTGAGCTCCACTATTATTTATTTAAACTTTATAGCTAATGACAACTACCAAAGATAATAAAGGTATAAAAATGATTGTATTCCTTTAAAATTATTTTATAGAGGAGAACTTACTTTAAATAGAAAAGGAACAAATAAAATCAGTTAGTCCTGAGGAGTTTTCTATAATTAACTCTGGTCAGTACGCCATAGACGTTCAACCTATTGAAGACGATATCTTATCAGAAAACACTTATAGAGATTATAAACTTGAACAAGGCAGCACCTATCAAAGTTCAAAGAATTCACTTATAATATGTCAACCTTCTCACCTTGAACAACCTTCTGATTACAGTTTTATTGATGTTATAAAAGGTATTAGTAACAATAAAAAAGGTTTACATTTGGATGAAAAAGGTACAACTTCTCCACTCAGAGCAAGTGGAGATCAGCTTCTAAGCTCGTCGAGTGAAGAGTCTTCCGGTAGCTGCTAATAGATTTTTATTACTTATATTAAGTCTATATTCCATAAGGATTTTCAGAGTTGGCAAACAGTTCTGCTGAACATGAAGATGCGAGTGGGTCCCACTCAAGCTCGAGTGACTCTGAACAAGAAAAGCAGCTAGCGGATTACGCTGTAAATTTATATCTTTCAGTAAAGTTAATAATAATAGTTTGTTAAAAACCTCCTAGGAGGAAGCATTTAAGTTTGTAAGTGAACAGCAAGCTTCAGGGGCGACTCCTTTAGAAGTTTTAAATTCGTTGTGTCTCAGTCGAACTGTTCTTCTTACTTTCTTTTTTTATTTTTTTTTAACTATAAAGATTTTACATATTAAAAACTTTTAAATTTCGCTTACTAACATTTTATTATTGTACAGTCCCACTTGCTTCCGGATCTTTTAGAGGATCAGTGGAAATTTGTTTTTCGCCAAGGCTTTTCTTATTTAAAATTTTAATCTTTCTTTGTTTTAGTATTATTATCTTTTAATTATAGTTTGCTGGTTGTTCAGTCGTTTTTATAAAAGCCTAAGATTCTGCGCTTTTCCCGGAGAAGCTGGGAATGTCGAAAAACTTTTAACTACAGTTGATCTTGAAGGTTAAAAGTATATTTTATATAAAATATATTAATATATATATGTATGTGTATATATAGGAATTGCACGCTATATTCTTTCCGGAAATTGTCATAATATAATTATTGTTACCGGCGCTGGTATTTCAACTGGTATTTGATACTAAAACTATATTATTTATTTAAAAAAATTTTTTGTTTAAAAATTTAAAGAATCTATATAATCACTAAAGCATCACTTTTAAATTTATTAATTATTCTTAAATCTTTTGAAACGTTACAATATGTTCACTTGTAAAATTTACACTTAATTTAGAATTTAATTTTAAAAAAAAAAATTTAAGATAAGTATAGTAATTCTAGCAGAATATTAAAATTAAATTAAAGATTAACTTTCTTTTAGTGTTTTATTGATTTCTTTATATATAAATTTTATAAATAATAGCTGCTGGGATTCCTGACTTTCGCTCTCCTGGCAGTGGCCTTTACTATAATCTTCAAAAGTATAATCTTCCTTACCCGCAAGCTATTTTTGAAATTGACTTTTTTCTCGTAATTACAGTTTTGCTGTCTTTAATTATTTGTATTTATAAATTTAAATTTTGCTTTTCAGGAAAATCCTGTTCCATTTGTTACTTTAATGAAAGAGCTTTATCCTGGGAATTTTAAAGTTTACTTATGAATATTTTATTCCTCTTTAAAAAAAAACTTAATTTTATTTATTGTTAGCCCACAATTTCGCATTACTTCATTAAACTCGTTTCTGAAAAAAAATTGTTGTTACGCAATTACACACAAAATATTGATACCCTTGAAAGAGTGGCCAACATTGAAGGTTCAACGAAATATATATTAAACGTTGCGTGTTTTTCGTAAAAAAAATGAATTAAATGCTACAAGTATTTTAGCTTCAGTTTCACTATTAATTATTTTTCGACTAAAATTTTTATTTTTAAAGAAAATAAAAATTTCATATTTTTTTATTTGATTGCTTTTTATTTTGTTTAAGAAACTATTTACGACTACTTGTGTTATTTCTTTTGTATTTAGAAATTATTTTTATTTTTATTATACTTAACAACTTCTTTTTTACTACACATCTCTCTTTTATGTTTTGTATTACTTACGCTGGAAACTGTCCTGCTTTTTTATTATACGTAACTGCATAAATTACAATATTATTTTACTTTGGATTCTTTTTTTTCCTTTCTCGCGTTTTTTTATATTTTGTTTTTATGTAGAGTTTTATAATGAATAAATTTTTTTTAAGGAGAATATTTAGTTGAAGCGCACGGAAGCTTTAATACTGCCCATTGCGTAAATTCTTCGTGTAAGCAAGAATACGACCACGAATATATCCGAGGTTGCAAATAATAATAGTAATAATATGAACTTTCTAGTAAAGCTCGTCTATCACTTCAACATAATATTTATAGCTAAACTGATTAAGTTTTTATTATTTCATAATTTCAACTGATACTGTTTCATTATTATTGGCTGTCCAGGTATATTTGGGTCCATATAGTTATGCTCACCGTTTTCTTTTGGGCATCACTTTATATGTTTGTACATATATACATTTTTTTTAAATAAAGATTAACTATTTTTATTAATATTTATTAAAGACTTAATATTTTCGGATTACATTCCTATTTGTCAGGTATTCCACAATAAAGTTATTGTAATCCTCCGCTATTCGGAAACTCTTATATACAAATAGACTTGCAAAAGTCTAATAAAACCGGATATCGTATTCTTTGGTGAAAGTTTGCCGAAACGGTTTTCGGATCTCGCGCCCGACGTTTATTGATTGGTCTGTTTTTATTACTTATAATGTTATCTATTTAATAAATAAACAGGATTTCAAAAAGTGCGACTTGCTTATTGTAGCTGGAACTTCTCTTAAGTTAAGTTTTACTATACTTTATTTTTTTTATAAACTAAACTATATTTTTTCCTCGTAGGTGCAGCCGTTTGCTTCGGTTGTTGATATGGTTTCATTGGCGTGCCCTCGTCTTTTGATAAACAGAGAAGTTTGCGGAAAAGTTGGCTTATTTATAGATTATGTTTTACAATATTATTAAACTTTTGGGCAAAAATATACGCAAAACTTTAAAGAACCCAACTTTTAGGGTATATATACTGTTTTACCGCTTTTTTAATAAGCGCGCCGTTTTTATTAAGTGATAGCATTTAGGAATATTGCGATTCCATTGATGTGCCCAACATTTGGGGTATAGACAAATTTATAATGAATAAATTTATTTTATATATAAGGGAGTTTCTTTTCTACGGAGCTTAGGGGTAAGAAACGGATTCGATTTTAATTCCGAAAGTAATTGCAGAGACGTTTTTGAAGAAGGTCCTTTTGTGTAAAGTTTTACAAATGAAAAAAGATTATATATTTGTTATTTGTTGGATTTATGAAAAAGTATTACCTGCTTTAAAAACTATGTAAAGGTCCTTGTGATGATGGTTTTTTGAAACTTGCGGACTTATTGGGTTGGAAGGTATGTAGGTAGTGAAACTTTTTTTATTATAAACAGGTAAATTTTTTACTAGTGTATTTTTAGTAAGAAAAATATATAGTAATATTGATATGAATTATAATAATTTTTTTTTACTGTTATTAGAAAAATCTTCTAGATTTATACGAGAATTCTCACTCGGAACTCGATAAAAAAAGAAACAGTATAGAAAAAACAAAAACTTCAAGGAGCTCATCATGTTCTGAAGGTTTCTTCAAAAAAAAATATCTCCCATTTTTATTTCTTTGTTTATTATAACTACAAACACTGAAGGGCATATCACCGTAAAAGAGTTTATTGAGCGATTGGAGAACGAAAGTCAGAAGGAAATATTAGAGATAAAACGGTTCAAAGATCTTAATGATGAGGAAAGTAAATAAAGGATTTAATTTTTGTGAATAAAATATTTGTGGTGTTATACTTATTTGATTATATTAACTCACGTACTTAATTACGTTTGCACTTATTGTAAAAGTAAAATTAATGCAACTGGTGCAGAAAAAAACAATACAATAATTTAAATTTTTTTCCGCAAATTTATTAAATTTAATTATTGTCATTGGTGCTTTTTGTTGGATAACAAAATAGAAATTTTTAAGCAATTTTTTTAAAAAAAAGTAGTAAATTCAGTAGTTATTTGTCTTTTTCTGATTCTATTGGCGGATTGAGCAAAGCGAGTAAAGATTGTTGCTTTTGTGCTTTCTTGGATTCTATGATTACTTTAAACATTTATTAGTTTTGTTAATTGCACTATTGTTATATATTTTAAACCTTCAACTGATTTACTGTTATTACTTTCTAAAGTGCGTGAAGGGGGCTTGCTTATTTGATTCTGCAGATCATTATAAAGTTTAAAAATTCTAAAAAGGATACTCTTATTAGTAGTACTCACAAGGATAATAATAATAATAACCTTGAAACTATTATAGTTTCGCTGGGCCATCGCATCGCTTTGACAATATCGCTTTTCTTTAGTTGGGGGGAGTCAAGCTCGTCGAAACTGCTCGGCTCAAATAAATCCAAATGGATTTTTTGATTATCATTTCCTTTACTGGTGTTATTTTTATTTATTTCTTTTTGGAGGTTTCCAAGTTGCCTATAAAAAGGCAATTCTTTATCTGCATTAATTATTAAGATTTTTATTAAAAAAATAGTAACAAACTATAAAGAAAATTAATTAATTTACAAACATGTTTATCAGGTTTTTATTTTGTAATAAAAAAAAAGAATGCTAAAAACTTTTTTCTTTATAACTTTTTCAGTAAAATTTTATGCATTATTTAGTACTTAAAAGTCATTGAAAAACCAACAACTTCAATACCAGAAAAGAACAAGTCTGGCCGGTTCAGGCCATATTTTTCAATAGCCGTAACCAATGCGATGTCATGCTCTCCCGAAATCCACCAATCAGGGAATTGACTTCTTGACTTATATAGCGGTGCCATTGTTCTAAAAGATTCCCACTTTTTTTATATATATAATAATTTAAGTGTAAACGACTCTATAGTTTTGTGCAAGTTAATATTATTAATAAGATATTATAAAAACTTAATAAAAAATAACGAATTTTTATAATTATAGCGGTAAGTTTATTAGAAAAATAAAAATAGAGCAGATTTATAAGCAAAACAAGCGTACTTTCGTTTCGTTTTTATTACTATTAGCAAAAAGAATAGTCTTTAGCATTTATACTATTATTGTTACTATAAATGATAGTAACTTCCTTTTCCATTTATATTAAAAGATAAATGAAATAGAGCTTATGATTTATTTTATATTATTAATATACTTTTACTGTAAAAATCTTTTCGGTTTTAATTTGATGAAGATTAAAAATTGTTTAGTATAAAAAAAGTTGTATACATCTTTTGTTAATAAACTTCGGCGGATAATAGCAAACATTTCCAATCTTTGCAAAATTTTAATACACTTGAAAAGAATATAAAGTTAATATTAATAATGAATCAAAAGTAATGAAATTGAGAAAACTTTATGTAAATTAAAAAAAGGTAAAAACTAATAGAAAAAAATAATCTAATAATAAAAATTGGGAGTAGAAATAGCTAATACATAACAGACACTAATAATTATGAATAATGAATAAATAATAAAAATTCTACCCGCTCTGGTGTTTTCGATGGAATGCGGAACTTTTTGATGGTTCCGTTTTTCGCAGAATTTAATGACAATTCTCTAAAACGATGCAACATATAATCGCAGTGCTGCAGTATTCCCGTCCCCCATTCTTTACTGCTCTTCAGCATCATAAGAAACTCGAGATAATACTCGTCCATAATTTCACTACTTTTCTGAATTTCTGCTTTTTGACAAAACTTTTCCCTGCAAACAATTAATAAACTTTATATAAAAGTCAACAAAACAAATCAGTGAGACACAAAAAATAAAATAAACACGAATATAGTAAAAAGAGATAATTCCCAATCACAAATCTTGCCGTCATCACTAATAAATAGTCCGTGGTTGGCCAAAGTATCCCAAATGGCTTTATGCTCCCGCTGGTTAAATCTATATATTTATATAATATTATCGTGCCTTCAAAAAATTTGGTTTTATTGCATAAAATTTGTTTAAAGTAAATATACGAAAAGAAAAATATATTTTTATATAAATGGTAATAATCATAAAAGTATTTAATAAAATTAATAATTATAATTAGTTATTTTCTTCTAAAAAAATATAGTCATTTAAAAAAGTTTACTTTATAATAATAATAAAAATAATATTTTCATAAATATATGAAACTTAGGGCAAGTGGGCCCGTTTAATATTTTTGCTTTCAAACTTTCTCCTTCCCGAAGGCTCTTCGTATAGCACACTCTCAAGTGTTCTTTATCATAAAAAAATAACAGCGAAAAATTTAAATACCATTGCATTTTATAAAGGATTCTATTAAATAAACAACTTTACTACCAGAAAAGTTGCTAAAAACAAGGCCAAAATACTTCTGTTTCCAACGAGTTTTTAGTTATTCCCTTATATTAATAACAACTATTTGTGAAATAACTAACTTTTGTACTAAAAAATATTTCGCTCACAGTTTAGGCAAAATAATAAAGAATAAAAATTATGGATGGTCTTCCTCACATTTTCTTAATAACTTTTTTGATAAAAATAATTCTAATAAAAACCACATATATAATATTTTTCTAACATTTTTTAAAATATTTTGAATATAATTATTATTATGAATTTTACTTTTAAATAAGAAAACTTTTTTCCCGAACAACTTTTTATCGGGAGACTCTGCAAATTTCGCAGCATACTTCACGCCTTTGTTTCCCAAGCTGTACCCGCCCCTCACCAGCGCCACAACAACAGCAGGTGCGGCCGGAAATGCTTCTTGGACTTTCTCTATACTGCAAGGCGATTCACTACGCAAAATCTTATGAAAGATAACAACCAATAGTTTTTTAGAATGTTAAGTAAATTACTTACTTCATCGATAACTGGCCAACCGCCAAGCATAGTATTGATGAAGAAATCCAATAAGGCAACGCGTAGAACATTTTTCGTACACTTCGGCTCGTTACGTTCAAACTTTTGCTTAAATATAGATAATATAGACTTTTCAATTTCGTTCAGCACCATTCCCTCAAAAACGTGGTCTTCTGTAGGGATCATATTTTTGTTAGCAATGATATTCACCACGTGTTGAGAATCTCTTGTTTTTTTTGAGTGGCGTAACCAGAAATGGATAGCAAAAGAAGTAAAATTTTCAAGCTTTTGTGTGGTATGGAAAACTTTTTTCCTCTTCATCCAATCAAAATGGACCCCGTTTTCTTGGGCATCAATATTTTTCCAGCAGTCCAAACCAAAATTAAGAAGATCTTTAATAAAAAAAATTACTATACTATTAAAGTTCGATTTATGTAACTATTTATAGACCATTTCCTGTTAATTTTTTAAACCAAATTATTATAAGGTAAAGCTTAACAAAAGCAGTAATGATAATTATATTTATATTAATATAAAATAAACACAAATAGTTGTTTAGTTCATAATAGTGCTGCTATTATGGCTCTTCACGAAAAGTATAGTTCTTTTGATTAATTACTTCTTAAACAACTTGATTGGTTTGGTTAAAAAAACTTATAAAAGTTAATCTGCACCAAACAAAACACTTTAAAGTCGGTTGTCACCGCTAAAATTTCTACACTTAAAAACATTTGTACTAAGCAAAAAGTTTCGCATCACTAAAAAAGTTTCTAAAGTTGTCGTGTTTTGTTATGAAAAAAAACTTCACGGTTTTCTAGAAAAAGGGCGGCTTGCTGGGCATCAACTTTACTGTTGTCGGATTCGCTATTATCGTCATCCTCACCAGCACAACTGCTTCATAATTAAAAAGTAAAAATTCACTAAAAAGATTTGCGAAGAACGTAGTAATAATGACAAAACCTCGAATCACTTTCAGAGGCAGACGCGGTTTTTCTATAAATCTGATTCCTCGCTTTTCTTCTTTTTCCAAGTTCCACGTGGTCTTCTACTTGCGCACTGAAGTCAGTAACAACATAAATATAAAAAATGTAACGGAAGCTGATTATATTGATCTACACGTGTACTTTTTTTTTACGTTGATGCTTGACTTTTTCGCCCATTTTTCCCAGAAAGAAGGATCGTTGACGTCCAATTCCTGGCCAGCATCATTAACATTAAAGAACGCCTTTGAAAAAGTAGACGAGCGATTCGTCATTGCAAGGGGCTCGCCAATGAGAGTGCGAGTTCTTGTCTCTAAAATTTCTTCAATATTTGCTTCACAAAATTGGCGAGCCGCTGTGTCCGCCTAATATATATACGCCCATTATTTATTAGTATTATTCAACATAAAAAAAGTTTTGCTTGTATTCTTTCACTATTACTATAGTAATATCGCGCTTCTTACCATTGTGATTCCTATTGTTTCTCTCTTATTATTGCTAGTTTTTCATTAAAAAATGAATATTAATAATATATCTATTTTATTCTCATAATAAAACTTTTTCTTATTTTTTATTGGTAACCTCATCACTAAGGAGGCCATATGCACCGCGTCTCAATAGATTTTCTACTTCTGCTTTAGACATACTTTCATAAAAAGACTTACTCTTCCCACAAATACCACCGATAATGGCCTTCTCTAGTCCAAGTTTGCGGCTTATTAACGATTATAAATATGCTGATTACTTTTATAAGTAATAAAAAAATATGTATATGTTTATTTGGGGAGATAAATTTTAGTGAAGCGTATATTTCATTATTATAAACAGCCTAAAAAAATTATTTTGAAACTATTTATATTATTGGCTAATAGTTACCTTGCGCGGTTAAACATTTCTTCCTCGTACGTTCCTCTTGTGATTAACCTGTAAACTTTGACCTTAAAAAAAATTAGTGAATATATAAAGTAAAAGAGCAATCCACAGTCTACCTGTTGCGTTTGGCCAATCCTGTGACACCGTGACTGTGCTTGTAAGTCATTCTGTGGGTTCCAGTCGCTATATAAAGTCAAACGAATATATATAAGCAATAAAATGTAAAAGTAGTCATTGAAATAATAGCAAAAAAGTGTTTCACGAGATATGAATAATAATGAAAATAATAAAACGAATATAGGAAAAAAGGACCTATCAAATATCACCACCACGTCGGCAGCTGCAAGGTTAATACCGAAACCTCCTGCGCGGGTCGTTAAAAGGAAAACAGATATATCTTTTTCCTGAGAAAACCTAAAAAAATAAAAATTCAGCATAATAGGTAGAAAAAATATTATCATAAAAATGTAAGAAAAACCCACCTATCAATAGAGCGCTGCCGTTCCAAGCCGGACACGGTGCCATCGATTCTTTCGTAGCGCTGGTGAGTGTCCCGCAAGAAATCTTCAATAATATCCAAACATTTTGCCATTTGGGAAAATACTAAAACTTTCGAGCCGTTTTCTCTTAGTTTGGGCAACAGTTTGTTAAGAAAAACCATTTTTCCTGTAGATAACGGTTATAAAATTTATATTAATTATAGAATAAACAAAAGTTCCAGTAAAATATTGAGCTTTTCAATATTAGTAGCAAAAACATTCACGCTACTATTTGTTTGTTATAATAAGAATACAAGCAACACTTTTGCTATAAATATAATATTTTATAATGGAATATTGATTTGATATAATATTAACAATAAAAATAAAAAAAGCTTTTAGTATTAATAAAACAAACTAGACTGGATAGTTAGCACTAGCAGACGTTAAAAAAAATTTCTTTCCAAAGTTTTCAATAGTAATAGTGAACCTGAAGACTCAATTAGTTGCGTGAGCGGAGCTTGAGCGTTAAGCGTGCTGATGTGCTCTTCTGCTCCTTTTATAAATATAAGGAATATTTATATTATAACGAAGTAGTAGTAAAAAACATCAAAAAAAGTAAAGAAACCTCTTATCAAATAAGGATGACTGCAGCACTTTCGTAACTCCATAGCGATATTTCTTAAATTCCCAAAACTTTTCCCTAAATCCATTGGTGACTTTAAGCTTCTCACTATAAAAGGGGAAAAAAGGGGCCAACCAGAGTTTAGATGCTTGAAGTTTTGCTCCAAAATGGCTCGGTAGAACTGTTTTTGGATGGCTGTAAGTTCTATCTGGACGATTGTCTCCTCCTTCGCGGCTAAAAAAAAAGTCGTGTTAAAGTATAACAACTTCTTCATATTAAAATAATATCGGGTGATACGCAGTTTAGGATAATATTTTTATTTTATTCATGCTACTAGTGTATAAGCAATACAGGAAAAAAAGGATGAAGTAAAAACAAGAAGCAAAGCTGAAAATGTACTGAAAAATAAATAGAAAACCAATATTTTTTAAAACATCTTCTTTAGTTCTTCTTAAGAGATAAGGCCGAAGCAACTCTTATTGGTCGTATTATTATTATAATAATTATTATTATGATATATAAAAACTCTGTAAGGCTGAAACTTGTTCAGTAGTCTCCGGAGAGCCGTATTTCTCAATAAATGATTGGTGACCATCAAAATTATTTGGATCAATAATATTTAGTAACGTCCAAATCTGATACGCATTGGAGTTTATTAATAGAGTGTTAAAGTAAGCACTAATAGTAAAGCTCGAAAGTTGTATTAATAAATTTTTTTTTTAATGAAAATGAATATATTATGAACTTTTTCCCCAACATACTCAACAGCCAATAGCCTAACTTACCTCCGAAACGTTATTTTGTATAGGCGTGCCAGTAAGAAGAAGAAAATGTTGTATTTTTGGAAACTCACGAATAGCGCAGTTCACTTTGGAGTTTTTATTTTTTAATCTTTATTCGTAATAATAATAGTAAATTTATAATAATCCTAATATAAGAACCTATGAGCTTCATCAAATATACAAGAGACCCAATGAAAACTGTTCAACGTTTGCTTATCGCGAATAAGGATTTCATAAGTTGTAATGAGAACGTGAAACTTTGGAATATTTTTTTCCAAACTTTCACTATTTTCGAAGAAAAATAAATTTTCGCGCATTAACTTCCTGTCTCTTTCGGTTCTATTGGTTCAGAATATATTTATAGAAGAGATGTACACTAGTGAAGTTGTGATAATTAAGCTTCGCTTATCACTATATATATTATTTACACAAAAAAGTGTTATGTTACGGTTTTCTTCAAAAATAATGGTTCTCTGAAGATAAAAATAATTATAATAACAGATTTCATAAAATATATTGAACCCGTGATAAACAAATGCGTTCATAGAAGTCCACGTACTAAATTCGCGAAACCAATGACTAAGTGTGGAGAGAGGAGCGACAACCATGTAAGGGCCTTTAAATAACAATAATAATAATGATTACAATAATAATGATAATAATAAACCTCTGATGTTATACTTGTTAAAAAGTTGATGGACAAAAGAAACGGATTGTATTGTTTTACCGAGTCCCTAAAATTTTTATAATTTTATTATAATTTCTTTAAAAAACTTAAAAAAGTAAAGAAATTTATAAATGAATAATATATATTGTTCACTAAAAAGTAATATAACGCAGATATTAACAACTTCAAATAATATAATGATAAATTATTATTAAGCACATGTTAAAAAACTAAAATAAGAGCATCAGAGGCGAAAAGGACACCATTTCATCGGCTAAAATGCAGCCTTTTCTTTGCACAAAGTTAAAAAGTAGCCAATTAAGGCCTTCGACTTGATGCTCTAGAAGAGTGCCTTCATTGGCATATTCGGGAGACTTCTACAATAACAAATTCATGAAAATTTCGACAAAAAATTTGTATTCAGTAAAAAAATTACAGTAAATATTTATACCGTAACAGCGGACCACTGCGCTTTCAAGTTATAATAAGAAAATGGCGTGAGTTGGCGGGAAGGTGGAAAGACGTCATTTTTGTTGAAACGTTCAATATCCTTCGATGAGAGTACATTGAAATTTTCAACCTCCCACGTGCTAATTTAATAAAAAATGTTTCGCTTACGGGTATATATTTTATGAAACACTTTTCATTAAAAAATTTTTGTAAAAGATTTAAAAATTCTTTCAATTAAAAAGAACCACTCAGAAAAGGGAAGTTGGCACCATTTGACCAAATAGTAATTCCGCGTGGAAGTCAAGTATCTCTGTGATTGGCAGAACATATAGTACTAAAATATAATACGTGATTGGATGGTTCAAATACTTTAACAATTTGCTCCACTTTCAAGTATTCCGGGTCGAAAGGAGGCCGCTCGTCGAGTTTTGGGGCGTCCTTATTTTTTTCCAAAAACCTTTAACAGGGTTATAAATAGTTAAAAGAAAGCACAATGAAAAATTATTATGCGTCTTATTTGTGGGTAATTTGCCTTTAAAGGGAATATTATATATAAAAAATATACTTTATAAAAATTTTAAAAAAACATTTAGATCTGGAAGTTCTTAAAAGCTAATAATAATAACAATATAATAAATATATAAAAAAAACAAACTTATTTAGTTTCTGACTTGCTTTATCGTCTAGCTTATTCTTGCTGATCCATTCAAGATCGTGGTAAGATCGGAATTGCCATTTCACGAGCACCTCCATCTTTTCTTTGTTAATTAATAGAAGTATTATAAAAAATACATGTTATAATATTGGCAGAAAAATAATCTTCAAGGGCTTAGGTTAAGGTTAGAATTAATGTAAATTACAATATAAATTTATTGTGTCATAAGCAAGAATATTAAAACAAAAGACTTAACAAATTTTAAAAGTAAAAATTAATTTCAGATTTTATAAAAAAATTTGATACACAGGGAACACTTAAAAAATGTTTTTTCCTTTTTGTTAATAAATTGATATAGAATAAAAGCAGTCAACTTTAACTGTGGCACTCTTTACAGATTAAATCTTTATAAATATATATTTATTAAAAAGTTGAAATTAAGCGAGAAGTTTTTAAAAGTTTCCAAAAAGAAAATCAACGGTAGTAATAAAAATAAAAATTAAATGAGGAAAAAAAAGGAAAACCTTTTTCTCCTCGCACTTTTAAAACTCGATCAACTTTGAATTTTATTTGTTTTGGTGGCTTTAATTTATAAATTATATCTTTGAAATTTCCAAAAAAAAAATTATAAAAGAAAACTAAATACTTTTTCGAAGTAACGAAAAACTTCGTCTGCCTCCTTAATGGATTCCTTTTCTTCTAATTCATAATAAACTGAAGACGAGCTATTTTTAAAAACTCTTAATTCCGTCAAGATAATTTAATTAATTACTTAAGTTTTTATATTTTAGCATAATAAAAAGAAAAACTAATGCCGAGATGCAAACTTAACTACATAGTAAATAACATCTTTGAAAAAGTAATATCACCGTGACTTTAACAATAGATTTAACGTAAACTCTAGCAAAAAAGCTAAATTGCTCCGTTATTTCAAAATAATTTTTTTTATATATATAAATTTAAAATAAGTTCCTTAAATTAAAAAACTTATAGCAGTAGACTGTAATTATATTTGCTTTACAGTTACCTTTGTGAGAAGCCATACCGTTTTTCCGCAACTCCGGACTTAATTTTTACATCCAAGCTGAGTCTCTCTTGTGGTTTTGTGTCTATATATTCAGTATTTTTTCCATATTTATTAAAACTATACTTGCTTATGTGTTTTATTATATCCTTTTTATTAGTATCTTTACTTATCATTTTTTTCGAAAAATCTCTACTTTCATCAACTGGATAAGTAAAATAATTTTCAAGTTTCGCAGGATTACTATGTGAATTTAAAAATTTATCATTGACTAAACTTTTTCCTATTAACTCGTAATCTGAATCGCTGTTTGTATCACTGGAAAAACCAGTATAGCGATCTTCCTCTATAGTTTTATTGGACTTGTTATGAACTTGCTTTTCTTTTTCTGCACCGTTAATGCTAACTTTTTTATTATAAAAATCTTCAAAAACCGGCAACTCCTCGGAAGTGCTCTCATCTTCGGTGTTGTCTATTATAAATTTAGTGCTTTTCCGTTCCTTTTTAATTTCTTGAATTCTATGTTCACTTCCAGAAAATCGTTTAAAACTGCTTTCTATGAATGGCAGAGTTTGAAATAATAAATGAATATGACTTGAGTCAATAAAACAACCAGTAAATTTTTTTAAAAAAAAAAAAATCTATAGATGAAAAACATATAAACAAAGTGTTTCATAAAGGTTCACTTCGTAGCATGTACTACGTGACACCTTTAAGAATTCACCTTCGCTGGAAGTATCGAAGTCACTATGGTCGCTAGGATCTTTGTATGATACAACGACGTTATGACGTAAAGAACGTCTCTCACGACGTAACTTTGCTTCATCGTCTATGGTAACTTCTTTATCGCTTAAAAAGTTTCCTTGTTTTTTCCTGTAAAAGATAAAAATATAACATACCTCTCTAAAATTTATTCCGACACTATTGAACTTACCTTTGAAAACTAGTTTTTATATTTTTATCCATTTAGGAATGTGTAAACAAATTGTAAATGGCTACTATAATATCAATATCAATATTTAACTTTAAAGAAAGCAAAAAAAAAAAAAAAAAAGGAAGACTATACAGTTAGATCTTTTAAATTATTTTTAATTCACTCAAAAACTCTTCTTTTTTTTCTGGAAAGTTTATCTAATTCGAACCTTAATACAAATTTATGTTGAACAAAAATTAGCAAATTCTTAACGGAAGAAGTTAGTGTTTACAGTCTAGACATCACGTTTTTATAGGACAGTATATTTTGTAATAAATATAATTAAAAAAAAAAAAAAGTTAAGAACCTTTTGTTATGTGCTTAACGAGATATTTAAAAAACAACGAATTTATTTAATTTCTGCATCATTATATGATATTAAGTACTTTTTGGCTCATTCAGAGTTTCCGTTTGAAATGGCTTATGACGTACGGAAAATGTAGTGAGCCCTGAACATACCCTCAGAAAAACCTTAAAAATAGTTACTGCTTAGTATTTTTTTAACAAAACTTTATATCTTTTAGAAAAATGTGCTTTAACTATGAACTTTAAGATTTTAATACTTTGGGTTATATACGTGTATATAGTGATTTATACCAAATGAGGCGAAATGCGCAATAAGTATAGCTGTCTTGCATGCAAGCTATGGATTTGTGTTTTACGAATCGTGACAGAGATAATTGTATTCTTATAAAAATTATAAGCGTAGTCGAAAGCTGCTTTAAAAAAAAAGTGTGATTTTACTTATTATCTAGTAGAACACCTAAAAAATACAAAAGGGTTTATTAAAAAAAGCCATGTAACTAAAATATAGTTTAGGGATTTTGGTTTCAGTAAACACCAAGGTCAACCACCCTTAGCATCACTGGCTTGAGCGTGTTCATCTACCACTTCAAATGTTAGTACTACACTTTACATTGTATCCATAGTGGCTATATATTTCCCTTACAAATGAGCAACATATACATTTCAGAGCCGACTACTAGAGGGAAAGCGGTTTTGGTTACCAACTATGGCGACTTGGATGTCGAGCTTTGGAGTAAAGAAGTATATTACTTATTTGCGCTTGCTTTCTAAGGCTCCGTTTAATTCTCAACCTTAAGGCTCCTTTAGCCTGTAGGAACTTTCTACAACATGCCATCGACGGCTATTTTGATGGTTGCATATTTCACAGAGTAATAAAGGGATTCATTGTTCAAACCGGAGATCCCACTAACACTGGCCTTGGTAATTTTCATCTTTAGTTTACTCCTTAAACCTGTTTGTGTTAAGAAATCTAATTAAGGTGGTGAATCCATCTACGAGACCCCTTTCAAAGATGAGTTTCACCAGAGATTGAAATTTACTCGGAGGGGCCTTTTGGCTATGGCTAATAGCGGGCCAAACGATAACCGTAGGTATTTTTATACTAGCTTTTCTTCGGTTTTTTTTTTACTATTATTAAATAAAAGCCAATTTTTTATAACCCTTGATCGGTGCGACTCTCTAAATAAAAAGAACACTATTTTTGGGAAAGTTACGGGTGATACTATATATAACCTTGTGAGCATCGGAGAGGTTGAAACTGATAAGGTGTTTATATTATGACATAGTCTTCAAAATTTATGGTTCCACTTGTATATTACTATATATCTTTAGGATGATCGTCCTATAGTTGATGTAGTTATAAAATCTATTGAAGTATTATATGATCCTTTTGAAGATATTGCTCCTCGCGTGGTAAAAACAAAATTTAGAACCGGTGAAAATAAAGAAAGCCAACAAAAACGGCAATCTTTAAACAAAATAAAGTATATAAAAACTTTAAGAAAAAAATATAAAATTTTGAATTATTGATTTTTTTTTTCTAAAATTTGTAGAGATAAGAACCTTTTATCATTTGGAGAAGAACCAGAAGACGAAACTTTGATTTTAGTTTCAAAAGTTTATGATTTTTTCTTTAATTTAGATGGGGGAAATGTTTTAATTTTTAATAGAAAATAAAAAGCAGTCATGAATTATTAGAAGACAGTACTCTAAGCAAAGAGCCTATTCAACTTTCTAGTTTCAAGGAATTTGATCAACTAGTCAACGAAGTTCCCTTGATTGTGCCATCCTCGGGATCTCTAGAGAAAGAAGAAAGCAAAGATGACAAAGAGCAAAACGAATTTCCTGGTGCTTCCGCACCATCTATTCCTCCTAAAGTTTCTTCGTAATTATAAATAGTTTTTGTAAATATCTATACTATCCTAAATAAGTTTTTTAAAAAATTTTTAAAGTGCACTTCATTGTGCCATTTTTATTTAGGAAAAAAATTTGTTTATAGTTACGCATATAATATAACTTAATTTATCTCTATAATAAGATTTATAAGTAAGTTTGTATATATATTTATAACTTATTTTACTATTATATACATAGATATTAAAAAAAAATTTATATACATTCATTACTTGTTCCACTTTTACTTTTTAATGCATTTTAAATTTTATAATAGTTATTAAAAAAAAATTGTTATTTTTTTCTGTTTATTGGGATTTTCAAAATTTATTTACATTTTGTAAGTTTTACAGCTTTACAATTTAATTTACCATCTTGTATTTTACTATAAATATTATAGTAAGTGCACTAGCGCACGCAATATTTTAAATGGTTAGAAATTTATTACTATATATAAATTTTATTAACCCGCAGAAATACTGTTTCCATCTTTAATTTCTGTTTATAGATTGTACTTAGTTTAATACATTTTATCAGAAAAGAATAATAAACCTTACAATAGTTTACTTGATTATCTATAGTTATATTTAAATTCTTTACAACTCTGGACTTTTTTCAACACCTCCGAATTTTTATAAAACTTAATAATAATTATACAAGTTCATGCTAATTGATTAATAAAAAAGTTTTATATAATTATTAACAGAAAAAATCTATTATTAATTATGAGAGTATATTTAATTTTGAATTTAATTTAAAAAAAGCCGAAAGGTGTAAACTGCCCTATCATTTGTTTAAAAAGTAATAAATTAAGGACTAAAAGATAATAAATTACTTTTTTTAGTTTCGAAGAGTGTTTGATTTCTGTTAATTTTTAAAAAAGGTTGTAAAGTTTAAATGTATTGTAAAAGAGTTTTGCAGTTTTGGTTCTTTTATATTTTCCTTGAAAAGATTTCTTTGTGATATTTAGTTAAAGTTATTAAGACAACGCCAGATACGCAAAAAATTTAATTTATTTGATTATGGTCTTAAAATTCTCTCAAATTTTTTTCTTAGACTCCACTAGCAATGCTTAACACTTTTTTATGAATTTTATAGTTTTAATTATTGTATATTAAATAAACTAAACTACTTTTTCTCAAATAATATTAATTATGCAAAGTAAAATTTATTATTCTTTTTTAAATATTTCTTTTAATTACACTTATAATAAATCTAATATCCTACCAAATCTAATATTTATTTTTTGTATAATTGTATAAATGTAGATCTAAAAAGAAAAAAGAAGTCGTGATCAAAGGTTTATTATCTTTGTGCCTTTTAATCCAAATAATTAATTACATACACTTATATTTACGTTGTGAAGGAAATTTAGTAATTTTTAATTTTCTCTAAGACACCAGCGGGAGCGATTATTTGTCCCAACAAAAAGTGAAATATTCCTGCGGGAAAAATGCAAAATACGAACAAAATAAGAAGGCTGAAGCGATGCTGGAGGACTTTAGAAACAAGCTAAGCAGTCAAGAGCCGTACTAGTTCCTTTTTCTCGCACTTCGTTTCTTTTAATTTAACGCTTATTTATTAAACTAAGGACCTGGTTGACCCATAAACTCGAATTTGTAGAAGAAGAAAACACCACTCTTCCTATGGATCCCAGCATTGGTACGGTTTTTCCGAATCCCCTTTTATTTTGGTTGACGATAATTGGGACACAAGACAAAATCGAAGAAAGATATGATTTGCACGACCCAAGGCACCCTTTAAACAGAAGAAGACGCGAAAACAGCAAGAAAAAGATGGAGCTCTTCAAGCATAACTCTTTTAGTAATAAAGACATCCGCCCAAAGTGGTGACCAGAACAGTTTTGCCTACACGCCTTAAAAATAAATGAAAAGGGAATTTTACAGTTAATATGTTTTTCTGATTGTGTCTAAGGAGGCTCAATGTTTATATGAACACGCGGCATTGAACACCGACTTTAACAACAGTATGCAAACTACTGCGATATGATTTACGGCCGAATACTAATAGTGAGCAAAAAACTCTGCAAAAAACTCTACATAACGCCAAACACTGCATTTTTGCCCTGAAAAATAGTTTTTTGCCACATGTTTGCATAACGCGAAACCCACATGGCATTGTGTTCCTCGATGGATCCAGTAAAGCACCGCTAATGAAAACGAACACCCGTCAAGTAAAGTTACCTTATTCATGAATTGGCTCACACGAAGAACATGTAAGACGGAATTTTGGAATTTCTAATGTAATCTTAACTAACACTGGGCTTTTGCCTACAGTCAAAATGCTACCACCAATGACCCAACCTACGCATTTGCCAAAGTTCGAGTTGCCTCTCGCATTAAGATACAAAGATGCAAAGGTTGCGCACAGGACATGCTCAAAAAAAAGAGCATCGCGCTATCTACTTGCTTAACTCTTATAACGGTTTTTTGTAGAGCTTATTTTCAAAAAAAGTATTGCTTCTTAGTGTATATACAGATATTTTAAAACTGGTTTATTCATGTATAATAATATTGCTACCTGGCTAATAAATCCAATTTACTAGTTTATGACTACTATTAAGTGGTCTTCCAAGTTTTTTAAAGGTCACTAGAAATTATAACTAGCTTACTAAAATACAAGTAACTTTCATAGCTAAGTACTTTAAGATAATACTTAGCACTACAATGGCATGGAACAATAACGCTTTACCTGACCGCCGGTACAGGTCGCCAAATCTTAGTTCTTCGACCATTTTAAAGCTAGCCAGGTAGAAAAAGTCATGGTGCATGAATCATCAAGTGGTAAATTTTTAAAGCTAAACTTTGTAGTCTCTACGCCTGAGCAAATTAGGTTACATGTCCTGTTTCGCTCCTTGGGGTTCTATTGCAAACTTTCCTTTACAGTACTTAACTGAATGCTACTTCTCTTGGGTTAGTCACATCAATATGCATGCATACCGATATACATAACTTAAGGTAGTTAGTAGTAGCCTAAATTGCTAGCTCTGGACTGTTCTTTTCATACTAAGTCCCTCTCTTAAGATTTGTTTCTCATCTCTTTCTAATTTTAATTCAGAGACAGGTAAAAAAAAATTATTTACCAACTTAGAATCGAGGGAAGCAAACCGATAATTCACCTAAGCTTTAATATAAATTATTCCTTTTAGCTTCGGCGATATTCAATAAAGTGAAGTCAAATGATTGTATCAACTCAAGCTAATAATTGTGCATTGTCTTATAGCCTTAGCTACAAAGGAACTGAAGTCTACTTCTATGATTGTTAGACTAACAAAGTTTAAGTTAAAAGTTGAGGGGTAAGTTCAATTATTAGTTCACGTTGAACGCTGCCGCTGACTAGACACAACCAACACAGTAGACTTGATCTTTCCAGGATAGCTTCAGCCTACCTAGCTGTGTTTTAGCGCATAAACGCATAGAAGTATCTTAGCTAAAAAAGAAAGGTTGTCAGTGTCTTCCTTGCTTGTATTCCCTGTTAGATGATCTGACTTTCGTCATTTGTCTATCTGCCATTGTTGAAGTACTCTTCGTCTTAAAATTAGTACATGTATTAACCTTCCTACTGTTATGCAAGAAAATTAGAAGGCATGAAACTATAGAGTTAGTTTGGGAAATTGTTAGTTCCTTACTCACAAAGGTTCTGCTTAGGTAGAACAAAACAAAATAACACTCTAGAAATGTAATTAGCTTGTTCTACCAAAGTAGAATGGAAAATAAGGAAACAAATAAGGTAAAATCCTGTATTCACCGGGTGCTTCGGTAAGTCCGAAGGGGCTACGTCATCCCACCCCGGGAACATGGGAGTAAATTTCCACTCCAGCGGTTATCCCCCCGGACGGCAGCGCCGCCCTTCGGGTCAGGTAAAGACTACATTTCCTTTGTATCTAAGACTATAAGACAATGTACAATCATTAGCTTAAGTTAATACAAACATTGGTTTCACTTTATCGAATGTTACTATTCGCATCGTATCTGGATGCCTATTACACAATTATGGAATGCGCTCTCGTAGTACTGGCGTACATAGTTGTGGCTATTGTAAAGTGCTTGCTTCTCACATAATAGTATATTAGTATATAGTAATTATACTATATTAATTGTGTTAGTTACTAGTATATACAAATATGAGCGGCACCTTGTGAGATTTTTTGTATATTTTTTATTGCATTAATAATTAGGTTATATTCGTTTATTGCAATTTGAAACACGACGTTGATTATTTTAATATTACATATTTGTGTTTAAATCATTGTCATGTTTTAAATGAAAGAGTTTTAATCTCGTTATTTTGTGTATCTATTTTCGTATTCGTTTTTTATTTAAAAATAAATTGGAAAACTTACCATGAAAAGCTATTTTATTACATAACTCGTGAACAAAGTTTTCGGGGATGTTAATTTTACAGGTTTGAAGGTTCGAGGACTAAGAAATATATATATTGTTAACGAAGTGAATATACATTATAATTTTAATGTAATATAATATGTAAAATTTGAAATTTGCTACACTTCTAAATTTTGTTTAATTAGTTTAAACTCCCCTACGAGCATACGCATTTACTTAAAGCATGCAGTTCGCGTGGAAATCCCCTGTATTAAACCCCATAATACTTCTAGTATGCTAACAAGATTTGAAACCAACGAAAATTAATGCATTGGTCTTTACTTTTTAGTCTACTAGTATGAATTTGCTATTTTTTAACTCGCATATCCTCTAAAAAAAAAACTAAGTATTTTTTAAAAAGATAAAATGTAAGGATATGTAACCTTACAAATTCTGATATTAAATGAATAAGTTAGGTACTCTTTAAGGAAGTATTACTAAAAAAAGAGTAAATACAGGTAGTAGGTATGTTGTAGCCTCAAAATGATTCAAAGTACAAAGGCCACTTTAGAAGGAAAAGTTATAATACGCTTTATTGACTTAAAATTATATATTAAAATAAAATAAGCTAGAAAAATTACCTAGATTATTCCCTTCCCATAGATTATTTTAAAAAAGTATTGAGTTTATATGGCCTTTTACCTTACACTATCAAGAGAAGAATAAAGTTTACTTAGTTTATTAATCAAGAGAAATAGGTTATTTCTCATATATTTTATATGAGGATGCCAACATTCAATCTTTTCGTTAGGCCGTGGTACTTGAAGATTTTGGGCCGAGAAATAAACTCGTACAGTTTTGTTAATTAAAAAAATCTATTATTATATTTAACACGACTTAAGACTGAAAAAAGTTTTATAAGTCAGTAAGGTTAGAATTACCGACAAGAACAAATAGATAAAAATCTAGTAATTATTTAAAACAAGGTTATGTTATTACAATTAAATTAAAAAGTTGACTCTACTTGTTAATTATATGACCCAATTACAGGGTACAGTTAAAAAAAAAGGGTAGATTCCCCACAACTGAGATATGCTCTTTGAATTTATATTAATTTTACCTAGTTGATTTAATCTATCAGGATTATTTGAAAATTGTTTATATATATTCATATTCATTCAATTAAAACAATATTCGATCTTCCCTTTTTTGGTATCTTTTCAGTCTGTAGGGCTGTAAAAGAGTTTTAGGATTATTATCTAGAGCAAGTTTAATATATTGTTGTGGTCTATAGGGTCGAACAAAGTGTTGTTAGTAACTGTCTACAGGATAGTTTATTGGGAGCTTGACGACTAGAGAGCGTATGTATTATTAAAGGAGACTAAAGCTTAGAAGGAAATTTTAAACACTAATCTTAGTAAAGTTGAAAAGTAATCACATTGATATTAAAAGGTTTTATTAGCTTCATAACTTATTTCTCCCTATATGTTTCTTAAACTATCCTGATTTTAAGGCATCATGAGGCCATCAGTTGTGATGACTTAAAGACAATTAATACTGTGTAATAGGTTAGAGAATACTCAAAATAAAGTATATATAATGAGCAAACTATGAATATAATACTCTATAGAGTAAACAAATGAGAAATTAAAATATTGAACGAGTAAAAGCTGAGACTGATCAAATACTAAAATACGATAATTTAGTAACTACAAAACTGAGTAGTAAAAAATGTAACTTAACTGAGTAGCACCTCTGATATTAATGAAATATAGCTTGAAGACGTCATTTTTTCATCCAATATTAATATTTGCTAAGTGGTATCAGATCATTTAAACACTTCTTTGACATTGCTTAGCTTTATTCAAGATATACTTGGTAGCATTTCCGATAGTTACTGGTTTAATACAACTTGCTTTATTATTTATTTATTTATTTTTATTTGTTATCAACAGGGATTCCTTTTAAAATTTTAATGTTTCCATTTTAAAAAGCAAAGAATGTAAGAATGTAATAAAGGAAATATTACAGTCAAATTTAATGAGAAGCCCTAGAAACAAAATACATCTCCGTTGTATACTCTAAATGATATCAATTTGTCCTGTAGAACAATAGAAAAAAAATGACTTCCTGCTGAATTACTGAGACAGAGGTGAAACATTAGAGCCAATGGATTTATGTGAGGAGGCCAAGTCATTATTTTCTGTGGAATTTAGTAAAGATAGTGGTATCAGCTAGATATTCAGTGACCATGTACTGAAAACAGGATCTCCATGTAATTATTCTTTCGCAGCGTACGTTGTGATGCAACTAATAGTACTCCCAGCTACTACAAAAAGTATTATATATAACCTGCAATTTATAAATATAGTAAATGGCATGACTTTAGACCAAAATAAAAATTCAGTGGTTTTGTAAACCCAGCTGCCATTAAAAAGCTTAGCCGGATATAAAAATTTATTTGAACGAATACTATAAAAATTTTCAAAAAATTTCAACTCATTTACGTTTAGTATAAATAATAACTGTATTTTACGGTTCGAAGAACACTCTTTTAGCGAAAAAGGTGCGTTGTTAGTAATGAGAGCGGTTACCGAGTAAGGTGAAGCTATCGATATTGTTTTTGTGACTATCTAATCCTATATCCAATGAAAGAGAATTATTTAAAGGTATACCACTTCTCAATCTGATAGTAGTGATGTGGTATTATAACATCGACTTTAAAGTCTATTCCTTTACTACTTTCTATAATGAAAACAAAACTGATGGATAAGTACTTTTAGATTACAATGATATTATTATTCTATCCATAAGTTTGATAGTATGGAGGCGACGTTATTATAGTATATAGAACAACGTAAAAGAGAGGATAAAAAAGGGCACTGCTAGTGTAACGTACCAAAAGGTAAATTCACTTCTATGATGGTGAATGGGATTGTGTATGAAAATAATAGTCAATAGATAATTGAACGTCTTCAGCTCCATTAGATTAATAAAAGGGACAAACAAGACGGAAAGACTAGAGAAAACACAAACAGATCAAACAGGGTCTCTAGAACAGAACAAAACAGATCATACGAGAATAAAAGACGGGAATAGAATTTCGTAGCAAAAAAGAGACACCCGTACTATTAAGTTAGCCACGATTTTGGGTTTCTCAAGAATGGCTAACAAATAACGTGCGCTGCTTTAAGAGCTACGAGGAAGCATAACCTAGGGGGAATAGACCCGGGTTTTATAGCTAACACATTTCGCTAAAAAAAACTAATGAGGTAAACTTGCTATTAGATAATTTAAAAACGAAATTAGACATTAATATGTGCTTGATAACTCTGTTCCTATAGGTAGAGCGATATCTGATGTCGTCACAAATTATAATGGAAGAAAGTAAGGATAACTTTCCAGCTATAATTGTTTGCAATCGGAATAAGTCCAAACAAACATATTATATTGAATTGACTTCTTTTCTATAGTAATTCTTTCGTTTTCACTATTTTTTCCTAAATTACTAATATTCGACGCTCTTTTCATAGGAAAGTGTCGGACGGGATATGGTATTGCTAGTGAGGACATTGGGGATGTAGAGGGATTGGGTAGGAGACGATTGATTTTTAGGGCACTAAATACAATTCTTCTATAGGGTGCAATATCTAAAACTTTAGCGGACTAGAAGTATTTTGTCGGAAGATGAATAGTTTTTTAACAAAGAAAGAAATTATTATAGAAGCTGATATATTGAAGAAATGAGGCATAGAATTCAGTAAATTTTAGCCTTTTAGTTTTAAATTTCGAAATTATACTTTTATAAACTAATTTACAATCTTTTATAATGGTATTTTTTCTTTTCGTAAAAGTTGGTTTTTTTATAAGCAGTAATTTAATATACATATAATGTTGTCGGGAGAAAGGGGTTTTTGAGTATGATTAAATGTATGCTTGAGTTAACTCTACCAGCAAGCTTTAGCTAAGAATGATTTGATAAAGAAAGCTTCCAATATTGAGCTAAATAACTTTAGGACTTTGTCTTGAAGCGAATTAGTAATCGCGTTGCAAATAAAAAAAATCTAATTGCTTTAGGAAGCAATTGACTCAAAAACGTCTTAACCAGTAAAGAAATAGGTAGTGCTAATCCAAAGCTGCCATCGAACAGTTTTCCATACATGTATTCTTATATTGGCCCTTACTAAGTTTTAACCGCATACTAATTGTACCATTCTTATTGTTAATTGGCCGGTAAAAACAGCTTTTCGAATTTAAGGAGAGTAAAGCCTGCTCATGTCGAAAGGCTTGCTGGTTCTTCTGCTCCCTCTTTTAGTTCGTCCTTTTTTCAAATTCGGTTTTTCGTTATTCTTATCCCTCCCAAAAGTTTCATTTATTTTTTTTTGTGCACACTTTTTAGTTACAAAAATTTTAGTTTTAACTGATTATCTACAGCTGAAAATATTTTAAACTTTTTTCTTTCCTTTTTAAATTTTTAAAAAAAATTGTTTTAAAGTTTAGTTAACATAAATTATTATTACCTTGTTTTCTTACTTTAAACTGAATATTAAAACTTGCTTTTATTTTAATTATCATTCTAACATCTAAAGCTCGACTTTAAATTTTTGAACTACAAAACTATTATGTTTAAGCAATTGATTACTTGTGTAAACATTTTTTTTTATAGTTATTCAAGTTTAATGTCTAGAAGATCTGACCCAGGAAAGCCACCTGGTAGGGGACGGGGAGAGTACAGCGGCGGTAGAGGGGGTTATGAAGGGGGAGGAAGAGATGGGTATGGCGGTGATAGAGGAGACCGCGGAGGTCGTGGAAGGGGCGGTCGGGGTGGTGGTGATAGAGGAGACAGAGGAGCCCATGGAGGCGGGCGTGGCGGTGGTGTTGATAAAGGAATCAGAGAGCAGGCATACCAAGGTAACACCTTTTTAGGCTAACTAGGCAGCTTGTTGGTCTTACGTGATCGCATTTGGCGTTTATAAAGTTTTGCCTTTATACATACCCGAGCCTCTATGTCTATATTAAAGGTTTAAGAAATTCTCTGGGAGGCAGTTCATATCAAGCTGCACTTAGAAGAGTGATTAATGAAGTTTTTAGTCCTAATAATGGCCAGTATCGCAAGGCCCCATGTGGCATTATGCTTCCGCTGGGCGAAGTCCTTCGCGGTTTCAGGGTTAAATCAAATATGTTTTCTTTAAATAAATCTCCTTCCACCAAACTATACCAAGTCCCTGTGCATGTTCATCTTTATAAAGGTTACTGGTAACTTTTAGTGGGTAATTTTCGCTTTATTTACTTGAACTTTTTTCACAGAAGACCCATCTAATAGAGAAAAGAAGGTTTTGGGCGTAAATCTTGCTATCGAAGGTGATATGGAATTAAACCGGATGATTATTGCTAAAGTTTGGAGCTCCTCTTCCGAGCTTAAAAATATTCCTTATGCCTACGACGGCCGCTCCCTTTTGTATGTGGTCAAACCTTTGAATAAGGAGCTTATTAAGGAAGTTGACCATCCAAACAGAAGGGCTGGTATAGCCCCTTCTTGTTTGCGGTTTCCTGTTCCTTCCGCTATCTTTTTTCAACTGTAGGCAAATGCCCGGTGTTAGTTAAGCTTACTTTCTCCAGCGCCGTCATTGCGTCAGAGGGACAAGGTTGGAGGCCTTCGCTCGCTTTCTTAGCGCGAGTATGTATTTGTTTTTCTGCGTGTCTCTAGCGATGTCTGTGATTATCCGGGGGTGTATCAACTCGCTGGCCATGGCGAGCAGATCCAGTGGCGACCCTAAATTGGTAATGTCCGGATATTCTGTACTGAGGCAGGACTTTTCCGATTATATGAGGATTCCTGGAGGTTCCGCGCTGTCATTTTCTCCGCTCGAGCAGAACATGCTCGTTTATTGCCTGCTTTACAGGTTTTTATGCACTCTTGGGGTATTCCTCGTCGTTACGCCCCTTTGAACTGGGGCATGCCCTCTGCGTGGACTCAGTCGTCAGTGCCGCAGTAAAGCCGGGTCCACTGCTCGATTATATGCTGCTTGTTGCCAATGCGAGAACCCCCGAAGAATTTCGTATGTTCCCGTCGGTCTCTTGCACGAGTCAACTTTTTCTTGCCTTTGGTTGCAGTTCGTAACAGGCTCCGTTACTGGGACCGGCTTCTTGAAGCTGTTAAAGGTCTCTCTTTTGAAACGAGGCATTTGGGCTACTCCAGAAAATATAAAATTAAAACCCTTTCCCACTCTACTTCTGCCAATCACGAGTTCAAGTGGGATTCTCCTCATGGCGCGCGCACGGGCAATGTTGTGACATACTTCAAAGAGGTGACCACTCTGCTTAAAAGCGCGGCTTGCGTTTCATTCTGTTGCAGATGTATCGTATTAGTCTCAAGTTTCCCGACGTTAACTGCCTCCAAGTGGGCACGGAATCGAAGCCTAGAATGTTTCCTCCCGAAGTCTGCTTTGTCATCCCCGGACAAACCAGAAAACGTTTGTCTTCTGAACAAACGGCTGCCATCCAAAGGAAGGCGGTGGTCCCTGCTGCGGAGCGCTATAACAGGTTTCCTCTTTTGTTTCTTTTTTCCTTCTTATTTTATAATATCCGGTGGCTTCGATTTCACAAGAATTCAGGAAGGCTGCGATTTATTCATAGAAAGCATTGAGAAGAATCCCATGTCCAAACTTCTGAAACTCACTATGGACACCGAGCCGCTGGCCCCCTCCGAAGTGGGAATTATTCCCGCCCCCGTACTGCAATTTTACGGGGAGGTTGTTGATCCCAAGCTGGACGGAAAATGGCGTGCTTCCAAGTTTGTGGTTCCCTCCCGCTCCCGCCTTTGGTATGTCTATTGAGCCGCGTTCAACCGTGAAAGTGCTCCGGCTAAAGTGGCTGTTGCTGCCGGTTGTAGGTGTGTGGCCAACATGGACCATTTCTTTCCGGACACCCAAAACTTTGCTAGAGGTTTCCGGTCCGGCTTGATCGGCCACGGGTATGTGGTGTCCTCTTGCTTTCTTCGTTAGCTCGGCTCATTCGTGGTATAGTTTGGTGGTCTCCGAACCGCTGGTCATAGAGATTGACCGTGGGGAGAGCGCCGACGCCTTTCTCAAACGCGTGTGCAACGCCTTTCGAGAAAGGCCAGACATGTTATTTTTCATTATTCCTGAGACCAAGGAGAGAGGGGTGTCGGAGAAGGCAAGTAGCACCGATTTGAGGAAGAAGATCAAGCTCATGGAGTTTGAAAAGAAAGTTGTTACACAATGCTGCAAGTCAAGCACTTTGAAACGAACTTCCGGCATGCTTTTTACTAACCTGGCCTTGAAATTTAACGCTAAACTGGGTTGATCGTGCTCATCAATGATGCACGTGTCTTTTAACTAATCACTTGTCTGTATTAAGGTGGAACGTCTCACTTTGCTGGGGTCAAAACTAGTTCTCGGGGCCAACCTGCTGTGGAACGCCCCTGGTTCCTGCGAGACGGCCACACTATGCTTATAGGAATTGATGTTACTCACCCAAGTGGAACCGGTTCGAGTGAAACTGTTTCATCCGTGGCGGCCATTGTTGGGAGTATCAACGAGACGAACACCATCTATGCCAGCCACATATTTACGCAGTATAAAAACAAAGCCGAGCTACTTTCAGAGGTCTTGTTAAATTCTGTGGCGCTCCTTTCCGCCCTTACACGCGTTGGCTTGATAGGAGGGGATCCACGATGCCCTCGACAAGCTACTCCCCGCCTATGCCTCGCAGCACAACAAGCAGTTTCCTCGCCGCATCATAATATTTCGTGACGGTAGGAGCATTCTACTCGCCTCGCCCCTACGCAGTGCACTGACCGCCAGCGTCCTTACAGGTGTGTCTGACAGCCAGTTTGAGCAGGTAGTCGACCAGGAGCTCCAACACTTTCGGAAGGCTCTTTCCACTCACTATGCCCGCGAGTTGCCCAAGCTAGCCCTCATATCCATACAGAAGAGAAATCGCGTCCGGCTATTTATGGAGGACGGGGGAAACCGGGTGATTGGCAATCCTGTTCCAGGTCATTGAGTACAAAAGTGGCGTGCCCTTGATTGGTAGCTTTTCTTTAGGGCTCCTTATTAACGATCTCCTTCCTCGCCCGGATATTCATAACTTTTTTTTTAAATTCCCACGTGGCTTTACAAGGTTTGCGTCTCGTTCATTCTGCCTTCGAGTCGTTTTTTTTTCGGTATTGCGCACAGGGACCTCCAAGCCCGTTCACTATGCCCTCTTGTGCGACGAAATCGGCCTTTCCTCGGACTTGCTGAGGCTGTTTGTCTACACGGAGTGCTATAACTTCCCTCGCTCTACTACCGCCATTTCGCACCCGTCCGCCACCCGCCTTGCCCACTTGGCTGCGTTTCGAGGGCAAGAACTTAATGATCCCAAAAAACCCGAGGTGTTGGAAAATTACATTAGAAATTCCAAAATTCCGTCTTACATGTTCTTCGTGTGAGCCAATTCATGAATAAAGTAACTTTACTTGACGGGTGTTCGTTTTCATTAGCGGTGCTTTACTGGATCCATCGAGGAACACAATGCCATGTGGGTTTCGCGTTATGCAAACATGTGGCAAAAAACTATTTTTCAGGGCAAAAATGCAGTGTTTGGCGTTATGTAGAGTTTTTTGCAGAGTTTTTTGCTCACTATTAGTATTCGGCCGTAAATCATATCGCAGTAGTTTGCATACTGTTGTTAAAGTCGGTGTTCAATGCCGCGTGTTCATATAAACATTGAGCCTCCTTGGACACAATCAGAAAAACATATTAACTGTAAAATTCCCTTTTCATTTATTTTTAAGGCGTGTAGGCAAAACTGTTCTGGTCACCACTTTGGGCGGATGTCTTTATAACTAAAAGAGTTACTTTAAAGACCGGTTTGTTTTTTCCATAAAGCTCTAAGCCACAATTAAAGCGATATAGATGAGTGCATATTTTACATAATTTTTGAAGCAATTACTGGTGTCTAAGTTAATGATAACATGATTCTAGAATCACAAACGCTTCTGGGGCTATATTAAAAAGCTGGTTGAGATATTGAAATAAAAATGGGTAGTAATATACGACAATTGAGATTTGAAGCCATTCTTAGATCTTCCAGAGTAAAGTTACCGCTACCAACCCCCCACAAAAAGACTGTAATGCTGAATACTATAAACTTGTAAGAACCTTCGTAAATAATAATTATTTTAAAAACCTGTATCACGTAAACCACTACATTACTAGGAAAATATATGCTTGACAACTTCTTGATGACCAAAAGAGTTCTAGGAAGAAATAAATAAACCTAACTATATGTAAAGGATATCGGAGATGACAATATCTATTTGCATTATACCCAAATGCGTTTGGGTAATTCATTGCAATAGGTCGCATTAGTGGAAGTCCAAAAATTGACCTGGAAAACTGAATACATGGAATTAAGTAAAGTGAGGAGCTACACGCAAGTGGTGGAGAATTTGCTAAACAAAGTAATGGCTGAAAAAAGGTTTCGGAACGGATAATGATGCAGAGGAGATATATGCAGGGGGAAAGAGCGAACTAAAGTTTTCGACAATGTAAAGTTATTGTAACATCGCGCTAAACAAGAGTCAAGAAGGCACAAACAAGGAAGTTAACTATATTAAGGCAAGTTGTTCAATGTTATATGTTCAATCTAAAAAGAGAATCTTTTTTTATATATCATGTCAATCCTTGGAATACACAAAAAGATTGCTTACTCTGCGGCTAAAAATGCCTCTTTACTTGCTGAGCATTTGCTCTTTTAATCCTTTAACTACTAAAAAAAATATCATAGCGAATATGTAGAATACGCAGAAAAATGTATAGACACTGCGTTCAACGGAGAAAATTCTGGATTACAAAACCCTTGCACGAAAGAAAGAGCTTGAAGCTATAATCCATCACTCTATACTAGAGAGGGCAACAGGCTTCGCGGTATCACTAATAAGATGCTCTAACATCTAATGACAACAGAACCACCTTTTTACTAATCCATTCAATTCAATTATACTCAAGTCTTATTCCCTGAAGAATAGAAAAACGCTGACATGCCACAAAACACGCACACTTAGTAATATCAGCCAAGTCACCCCACTTTGTCTACTCTTGTGCCTAGGTAAAGCACCCAGAGCAGTAATACTAATAAGACTAGAAACCTTTGCTAAAGATAAACATATAGTAGCAAATTGCCAATTTGGGTTTAGATGCAATCATTCAACAACTCAACAGAATTTATGACTTTCTCAAAGAAAGTTAACAGGAGCGATATTCTTAGAAGACAAAAAAGCATTTAATAAGTTCTGGCACTACGGCAATTTTTTTAAAATAATTAAACGTAACTTTCCCAAAAACCTCACACTTATAAATCAAATCCTTTCTGCTTGCTTTTTCTACCAATATTATTACAAAGAAATCTTCTAAAAGTAAACTAACTAAAGGGATTCCTCAAGAGCATCTTCTTTCACCACTTTTTTTTTCATCTAACTTTTATGATATACCCACAGTTTACAGAAGTTCCGGTTCAGCCCCCTTAGCAATAGGGCAACTTCTGCTCTTAAATACTTTAAAAATATTTTGACCAATGGCAAGTTACAATTAAAACCGCAAAAAGTAGGGCTCTCCGGAGATCCCCTGAGCGATTACGTTAAATACCTCTGCATAACAAACAACTCCAAACTAGATTGGCATGTCCACACCACCTATGTTATTATAAAGCGAAGGCTTTAAAAACACTCCTTAGCCACTATGTGCCAAAAAAGTAAACTTAACCTCAAAAAAAATTAATGCTTTCTAAATCTCTGGTAAGACTGAAACTTACGAGTCAATTGCGTGGTCCTATATAGGTGTCATTATTAAAGACTTCGAATCCTATAGAACAATTTTCTTTTGAACTAGCCAGAGCGCCAGTTCGGCCGCATTTGTGACTTACACAGGGGCTGTGTAAAAGTGAATTTTTCAAAGACCCTTTTTCAATCAACAAACAGTTGGTTCTCAAATTTCAGCGCATTCTTACCAACTTTCGACCAAAGTTGTAGCTTACGATCCTAGCTACTACAGAAAAAGCAAAAGTCCCAAAGGTATTCTCAAGGAAACCTTTAATAATAACAATGATATTTAAAATACTAAATAATTATGCTTATAGCAATAACTATTGTAATAATAATATTTAAAGTAACAAACTAATAAAATAATGAACCATTAACATTGCGGGGCTTTTAGACCCCAACCACCCACGCCGGTGGAACACAATTTTAGCAGTCTTAAAATTACACGTTTAATACTTAAAGCCATCATACCGGGATCGAGAGTTACCGTCGAAGCTCAGCGGTTAAGGTCATCGACGCGCAAACTCAAGGTCGTGGGTACGAATCCCACCAATGCGACTCTCTTTTTCGGTCCTTGAAGGACGTGTATGGCACCCAAGATTGGCTAAATATCTTGGTTTGACAGGTTATAACATAGGGTAAAACTGGTTAAATAAGTAAAACCTATCTGATCAGGACAAGAGTTGTGGTCGTAGCTAGCGGTTATCATTGCATGCAAATTCAAGGTGTTGGGTCTGATTACCAACGACGCGGCTCTCTTTTTCTGTCTTTGAGGGTCGAGTATATACCCTCGCCTTTAAATCATTCTAATAAGGTCAAATTAAAAATCGTCCATAAAAGCACTTTGAACGTATAAAAAGTTTTTTTTTAAACGAGTTAATGTTACATAACTGAAGGTTGGCGAATTTATTACAATGGACAGTAAACTAACCAAATATAGCAAACAACTTAAGTATACATTGTAGGCTTTATTGTAGTATACTATATAAAAATTTTAGAAAAAAATTTGATGCTCTGCAATTATTTGTTAATTTAAAACGCATTACAAAACAAAATATAAAAAAGAAATTGCGGTAGGGCGCCATCTTATTTGTGTTAAAAAAATCTTTTAACACCTCTAGGGTTAAGGAAATAAGATTTGTTGGGAAATGTAAATGTTCCAGTAATTTTTACGTTGAGGTAGTTCATGTAGTTATCAAGCGCTTTCTTATATAAAGTTGCAATTTCTTATCCAGCATCTATAAATAGAACAAAGTATATTATAAAAAGTAAAAAAAAAAATTATAATTTTTTACAAGTAATTATTTACATAGACGATATCCTCTTAAATTTAAAAGATATCAAGTGAACAAGTAAAATTATTAAAAAATTTAGTTTAAAAGATTAAACATCTCTTCACTTTTCCTAAGCGCTGTCGGCACGTGGAGGTGCCTAGTAAACTAGTAGAGATTTGCATATTATCAGTAGAATTTAGCTTTTTTTTTAAAATCACCTACTACTAGTTAATGTTTAGAAACACCTTTCAGGTAGTGTCGCACCTATAGTTTACTAGTCACATTATGACGAACGTAAGTTAAACAATATTTTACTCACAGGCGGGTTTTCTGTCAATATTTTACAGTTTAGGATCAAAGCCTTTACAACTATGGAGCGAACATAGTATGTATATTTGTACCGCTTTACTCTGCTAATTAACTGTTATCTGAATTTTTTTTTTCTTCTTTTGAGTCTACCTTGGGCTATCTAATTTTTTTATGTAATAGCTGGTGAGAGTGGTGACATTAAAAAGGTGGTTGACGAGGATATTGACTCTTGTGTTTATGAAATTGTGGACTCAAAAAATATTGTATACTTTCACTTTGTTAAGATTCTTTATAAATTTACTTTCACTTTGTTAAGATTCTTTATAAATTTAATTGTTATTTTGACCTTTAATTTTTAAGCTCATTTTTCCAATAGTCTGTTTCAGGGTTATTTTCTAAGCTTTTATTTAATTAGGCAGTAACATACATAAGTTGCCCGGCAGATCCAAACAAAACTTTAGGGCTTAAACTCCCTTTTTTAACAATGATAATAAAGAATGTGGAAGGCTATTTTTCTTTTGAGATTCAGATTTTAGATAATAAAAACATTGTGCGAAGGTTCCGCGCGTCTAATTTTCAGGTCCTTTTACTATTTAAAGTTGATTTATAGACGAATCTTTTTCCTTTTGTAGACCGCAACCCGAGTTAATCCCAGTATTTGCACGATGCCTCTACGGCTCGATGCGGGTTGGAATCTTATACAATTTAATTTGAGTGACTTAACCAAGAAAAGCTATGGCACAAATTTTACCGAAACACTTCGCGTTCAGGTACGTTATAGATTCTTATGCAAAGGCAGTAAATAGGGCCGTAGTTAGCGCTCTAAATTTTTTAAGGCACTCCTCCTTTTATATAAAATAATAGTAATATTTTCATATTATCTTTCTGGATTTAACTAAATAGGTATCATTTTTTGGGTTGTAGTTCGCAACATATGTATATAAACTTGTCCACCCATTGATAGAGCGATAGAAATTTTTATTTAATAATAAAACGATACCTATTTATCTCTATTTTTATGTATGATAAAGAACCATCATGGTTGGCGATTTAGACCTTTTTGCTTTTTTCCTACTTTGTTGTTCATATATTTATTATATTTATTATGCCTACAGATTCATGCCAATTGTCGTTTGCGGCGCATCGTCTTCTCTGAGAAGTTTTATTCGGAAGATGAGGTTTGCACCGTCTCTTTCTTTATATACTTTAAACCTTAATTACTTTTTAGTTCCCAGCGGACTTTAGGTTGTACCATCCTGTAACGGTCGCTACTGACGCTTAGTAGCCACTCACGCTTTGCGTTCACGCATACTAACTTATTTAATAGGATCTAAAAAGGCTGTTGTTCTCGTGCACTTTATAGCTTATACTATTGTTTTTAGTTATAAAAAGGAATTCATTTTTCTTTTTTTCGTTACTATCTTTGGTTGTCTAGTACACCTACCCTCGAGGTTAAAAGTCATATAGAAGCAAACAGTAATTTATAAAATTTTTGAAGGTTAGGCGACAAACCGAATAAGTTAGGAAAAGTTTTTTGTTTGTGCTTATAGTAATTCTATATTTAGAGAACAATTTTTTTTTATGCAGAACACTACCAAAGAACAGAATAATTTTTAAATAGAGTAGCAGATATACAGTAGTGCAATAATTACAGTTAATGGAACCTAACTTTGTTTTTCTGTTAGTGTGCTTTCCGGGTACTTACGTATCGCTTCAAATTTTTTGTCGCGAAATATGTTTATTTATTTGCAATTAAATTTTACAAAAATTAGCAAACTCTATAAAATCCTGTTGCAAATAAAAATAGAAGAATATTTTGAAAAAAAACCGAAAACATAGGGGGCTGCTATACTTTTTGCGCTCATATTATCTGACAATCACAACCTTAGAAAGATTGACTTTACCAAAACCCTATTTTTTGGGCCTACCGACTACCTTCCATTAAAACAAATATTATTACTGCATACTCCACTTTTTATTTACGAAAATTCGCAGGTGACCGTTAAAAATATATAGGTCTTATATAAGTTCTATGCCCTAATTTTTAATCGAGTGGAGGCATAGAGCAATTCAAGTATTTTTTTTTTGCTCCTTTATTAACTCAATTATTTTTAATATCAACAAAGATGTGTAACTTATATCAACGGTTTTTTTCTGAAAAGAGAATAAAGGTGGGTAGTTACTTTTTATAAGGCGAATAGGTCACCGACCTTAGATATTAGTATATTCGCAAAATTAACTCCTTGAGTGCGGCCTAGGACGGAGAAAAGGAGAAGAGCGATCGATTTACCGTCTCATCGAGAAAGGGTGTTTATACCTTCAGGAAAGTAGTACTTTAATAAGACTCCTCTTAACCTTAAAATGGTAACATGGAAATGTAGGACTCAAACAGTAACATCGAGTCATATTAAGCCCTACTAAAATTATGGTGATTTTCAAATATTTGATATTTTAAATGGTAGTAAATGTCAAAACAAACCTTATAGAACCATAAAAAAAGTAGTTAGGTGAAAATGTTAAAACATTTTGATTTGGAACAAAATACGAAAATATAGGAAAAATCATGTAACTGAAAATTTTAAATCTTTTTTGTTTTAAAACAAAGATTGCTTTCTAAAAAGCATAACAATAAAACCTCAAAAACTGCTTATTGAATGAAACAATACGCATTTGCATTCTTTAGTACAATCTTAACAAATAGCACTAACAATGTTCGGCATATATCTCGTGTTTACAAACGACACCTTTTTCCCTGTTTTGTAAATGGGATGCGTTTTGGGGTTTTAACAAGTTGTACATATCCTCTTATAACATCTTCCATTATACATCTCAATGATCTTTTGAGGTTTTTATACTTAAATTTCTTTCGAATACGCGATTCACAAGCGCTAAAGCCAAAACTCTTCAAAAAATTGCGTCATGGTATGAACTTTAAATTTTTATGTGCGTTTATCCCGGCTCCTTACGTATATTGTAAAATACTCTGGGTGACCAACGATGCACATCCTTGCAACTGTCTTTGAATTACAAAGTTGATCATATGTATATACTCCTCCTTTAGTGGAATTATAAAATAAACAATTTCCGGTTTTTGCGAATTTTGAGGTTTACACACTACCTCAAGTTTGCGTAGATGTAGAAAATTTTTAAGTTGGTAAGACAATATTTACAAAGATTTACTACACATTCGTCTTTTAAGTAGCTATTAGACCAAATCGAACTGTGTGCGTATTAAAGGTTGCGTGTTATTTTGTAGCGCCTATTTGATTGTACGTGGACTTAGGCTTCGGCTGTCAGTAAACGTGTCCCTAGAGTGGTACTATCACCTTTCAGTTCAAATTATCCTCCATTTTCAAAAAATTCATAAAAAAAAAATTAAAATTAGGGAATAAATAATCAGATAAGGGTTATAGGTGTATAGCAACAGCATCGTATTCCGCTCGTTAATGCCTTATTAGATTAATCCCTTTATCTTAAAATTATAATTCGAGGGTTCTAATGTAGTTAACAAAAATAAGTGCTTACCATTGAATACTAACCTTATTTAGTTGTAATGAGTACGCAATTAACTATATTCTCTTCTCTTGTTAGTATATAAATTAAATGACTTTTTGGTAGAACGGATTTCGCTATATTCTTTGCATTAAAGCGCTATCTTCACGCATCTTAAATGCTTCTGTTCTCGATTTTTGTTCTGCGTTCTTAATTCTATATCTACTATCTTAGTATCCTTAGTACCCTCGTTTAGTTTTCTCTTCCTACGATCTACTTCTACGTTCTTTGCTACCCTGCTTAACGTAGTTCCTCCTATCCATTAGTTACTCTCTATAATTTTTATTACTCGAGCAAAATTTTGCGCTTTATATCTTTCTAGGGCTTTATAACCTGCGAGGTTATACCCGTAGGAGTCTAATTGTCATTCCTAGGAGGACGGCAATATCGAGTGGGTGGATGTAAAAAGCATAAATATATAAATATATATACGATAGGGACAAATGTATAAATATCTGTCTGGTAATATATATTGTATCCGGTAAATAGACTACTTCCTTAACACCACACGTTACACTTAAAACCAAATAGCAGGAAAACTTGATATTCTCTTGTGGAGGCTTGCTATCTCTATTTATGTTGACCCACAAGTGTTGTGTTTTTCCCTAACAAGTGGTATAAATTAAATTATAATGATTAATAAATAGATATAAACAAGATGCTTACTAAAAATGGAACCGCTGTCCACATGCTCACCCTAAGGGTCAAACATAATAGACTGTTCCTGGCTTCTGAGAAAAATTAAATTTTATTTATTAATGACAATTCCTGGTGCTTGATCGAGTTAAAAACTTCGAATACTCGAGCTCTTAACCACGGGTGCTCGCAGATACAAAATAGCATTCAGGATGTCGCTATTCTTTTACATAAACAAAAAAAAGACTAGAGCTTAAGCGCGTCACGTGGGCGGAGATAACGTGCCCCGTCCCTTGCCTCCTGAATAAGTTCGCTCACCAGCAGGGCGATTAGTGTGCCTGGTGAGCCTGTTGTAAAGGACCACGGCATGGTGTTGGAAAACAATGTTAAAAGGACCCAGCTGAAGGTCCCGGTGAAGTGCCTATTCCGCACAAGTCACAGTACATTTGTCAGAGCACGCAGCAATTTGTTCTGTCCCAGTTGAAGTGCCGGCGCCATCGCAGTGGAGTCATAGATCCAAGCAGCAGACACGTATTCCATTATTGCCATTATTGCCTGAATGTAAGACATATACGCTTGCCGTTTGTTTAGCAAAAGAAGTTTACTCTTACCGCAAAGTAAAGGATAAAGCGCCTTAATTGCTGTCTTGACCTTCTCCGCTACATAGTCCATGTGAGGCCCCCTGGAACTTTGTTGTAGATAATGACCCCAAGTATTTCGCTTGAAAACACCATGGAATCTTCAAGCCATTAAAGGTTGGGGGCGCGTTCTTATGAAATTAATATAGCTTTGATCTTCATCGCTTTTATAGTAACCTTCCGATCACGGCACCACACAGCAAGGGCGTCAAGGTAGGGCTGTAAATCATGCATAGCAAGGCGGGAGACTTCGGAGAGGAATTACGGCCGTCTCGTCAGCGTAAAGGGCGATTCGTGTGGGGGGGGGGGGGTCAGATGGCAAGGGCACGCCGCTCATGTAAATTGCAAATGAAAGTGGTCAGAGAAGACAAAGCGGCGACAGTGAATCGCCCACGCGCACACTGAAAGCGCGACCATTCAGATATGGTTTTAGCAAAGTTATAAAGGCCATAAGGGGCAGATAATGAGCTCAATTTGTGCAGCAGTTCTTCAAGCCAAACTTGATCAAATGCCTTTTCAACGTCTATGAAGATAGCACCTGTTGCCGTATGGTTAAAAGCGTGGGTGGGCCATTCAGTTAAGCGGAGGAGGTGCTAGGTCGTTGACTGCCCTTGTGGAACATCCAAACTGAAACTCTGGTAAAGCTTTTCGAGCGCCAACGGCTTCTTTAAGACGGCGCAGTAAGAAGGCCTCAACCACTTTGTCAGCCACTGACAATAGGCTGCCGGTCGGTACTTACTAGATGCTGATTCCGGTTTAAGTGTGTTCGGTAGCATCACAACGATTGCCGTTTTCCATCGAATTGGAAAGGCGCTAAGGAGCATCGGAGATTTTTCAAGAAGAAAAGATGGTCCATCCCTATTAATGGCATTTTCTTCAGCAGCTCATTAGTGATGCCATTGGGGCCAGAAGTTTTTCGTTTTGGTAGCGCTTCGACAATGGCTTGCCCCTCGTCCACATTCGGGGAGGGGTAAGCTCATCTGAGGGAACGTATCATCATTAGCAGTATAGTGAGCAGCCGGCACGTTTTGGATAGCAAGAAAATTGGCGAAAAACGTAGCTTTACTTCCATCACTCTCGGTTACTATATTTCCTTCACCAAGGGAGGTAGTGGTGCAAGCCCCGATTTTTGATCCTTTTAACAATATTCCAAAAGGAGGAGTGACTGCTGCTGCCTGATTCTGGTATACTATGTAGTTAGCTCTCCCATTTATTGTTAAAATGGGCCATTAGCTTTTTTTAAATGCATCTGTGAAGCCGATTAAGCGCAAATTTGCCTTCGGTACTCTGCGGTAACATGGCTACTCGAATGAGACGTCGGCGTTAATAGATAAGTGTCTTCGTCAGAAAGGCGGTCTGGCGGTACGTTACTTCACGAGTTGTCGTGGCAGTGGTGTGAGCCATGCTAGGCGCGGTTTCAAAAAGGGTAATAGCATCATCTAGCAGGGCGGGCGTAGAAGGTATGGACGGATACGGACATCGCGGCATCGTGGGGTTTCTAATACATCAGCATAAATAACTGGGAGGTGATCGGCGGACAGCTCGTGGAGCAACTTCAGATGCCGTAGAGAGACGTATATCTTTAAGTATGGCAATATCCAGTACGTTCATTGCGCCTGCGCCCGCTGTTGGTGGCTGGGCACCTAGTACGCAAAGCCCGTGCTAAACAGCATAGGGATCAAGGAGGTGACCATTCGAGTTATCGGCTCGGCTGTTCCATGTATGGTGCTTGCAATTAATCCCCGCACAAAACAGCAGAAGGGACACTCCAAAGGATAGCATCTAAATCGGAGGGCGTTAGTAGATTATAAGGGGAGTTGTAGACAGCGATTTCAGACACGGCCCCCTGAACGGCCATACATAGGAAAGACCCACTGCCTCGACACTTTGTAGAACTGGCACAGATATCGAATGGCGAATACTCCTTTTACCAAGAGAACCGCGCCCTCGCCTCGTGCATCAATTCTGTCTCGGCGATACGTAACAAAGTTTAACAATTAAATACGATGTTAGGGAAGAGATGCGTCTTGTTAATGGCGCGTACATCAATTCTTTCTCGTTGTAACAGCTCCTGAAGCCGTGCTTCTTACTCTGGACACCATTTTGCATCCCTGAAGAGGAGCCGAATGTGGCGGCGCGTCTTTGGCTAGAAAAAGTTGCAAACGGATTCCAGTCCTATCACAGTTTCAAGCATGCTGGATTAATTCGTTGTTAAAATTGCTTACATCGCCGTATTGTCGGCTTTGACTCTTCAGTTTTCGCAATAGAAGCGTGGCCAGGGGCTTTAGAACCTAACTGGTACTGGGCAAATCTTGATGAAATTTTGTCCTCAAACAAGACTCGTAATAGACCCCCGGGGTAACAGTATTAATTGCAGTTGGCGCCGACGAAGTAAACTTTGCGGGTTGACTGGCTGGCATACGCGGATAATATTTGCAGTCTTGATAATTAGCGATGTGTATCTCCCCACAGTTCGGTCATCTAGCAGGTGAGTCTCGTGATTTGGCACGCTATGCGGTCAAATAACCCTCACACATTTAATGCATCAGTGCTGGAGCGCAAAAAATAGTCTTCATCTCTAATAGCTTTAGTCGCTCCCTCCTGGGTATATGCACCAGCGCTAATAGTAACGGATGCTTCTTCCGCTTGCCAATGACAGTGTCCTACGTGTGCCTTCGTGCCACTCGGAGGGATGTAATGCCTTGCGTGCGCAGATCCACCTCGACGGTGGGGATATCGAGTTCGCAATAAACTCCAGGAATAACAAATTTTAGCGGCTTGTCTTCAGGTAATCGGTAGGTAAAATGTTGTAATTCTTGCTTGCGCATTATCGCTGTGCTTTCATTGTATTCTTGAGGTGTTGTCGGATATAATTTAATTCCAAAACGCGTATCTCTTGATTTCGGGGTTATGGCACCGTTGCATCGCAAAAGATGTACAAGAAGGGGCCACTTTTGTTTTTCACAGAGGGTAATAGGAGGAATTTTCTCTTTATGAGTTCGCAGAGGGGATTCTGAAGTATATATTCGTTTTACTAAATAGAGAGACAGTGTCAGAAGTGCCACCCATCTCCACGTCCACGGTGTCGTGTAAAGCCTTTGTGGCTTCTCTGAGTCTCTAAGAATTTCTGGGTTGTCGTTACCTTTAATGGGGGGAATACTTACTACTATCCTTACTAATAATATTTCTAATTCTTTTACTGGATATATTTCTCTTGCTCTTAGTGTCGTTGCTAACTATTATATTATTAATGACGCCAGTATGGGAACTATTAGTCCTAAGGTTATTGCTACTGCTTTTATTATCCTTAATATTAGCTATTTTCCCATGACTAAACTCGCCTTTTTAACCTTTAGAGCCTCGCTACCTTCCAGTACTGCTTCGGAAGCATCTGGTTGAATATAGAATTTGTGAGGCCGAAAATACATAATTATTGTTAGTTGTAAAGAGAGAAGACTCCTTTCGCCTTTTAGACTTATTTTTGTCCTGGGTGTTTTAGTTCTTCCTCAATAGCCAACAAGTTAACAATGAATGCTCGAAGTTTTTCTTCAGAGGGCAGACTCATAATTAATATAAAGATATATATTTTTAAAAAAATAGAGGTGGAAATGAAGGAAAAATAATAAATATATATGAATAAGGTCTGTAATATAAGGTCAGTAGTAATAAATTACGTAGTTTAAGTGTTCTAAGACATACGTTTATTTTAAATAAATCGCTAAAAATTTTAAATTAAATAAAAATATCGCAAATTCTAAGTAAGAAGTTAGATGCGCAGGCCAAAATCACAGCCCGGCGGTTAGAGAGAAAAACCTGGGTTTTTTTGCTAAAAATTTTAGTACATTTACAAAATAACCGTATGATTTATATGTGCACGTGCCTTTATCTGTAATCGGCAGTTTACAACGCTACCACTACCTGCCCTGACTGTACACACGCTAAATTGATAAATACTAGTCCACAACTGTGCCAAGGTAAGCAATAATAACTTATAGCCTAAAATAAAAAAACCTGCGTTAAAGTGTGCAGAATTCGGCTTTTTTTAAATAAGTTAATTCTTTGTCTTCTACTAAATTAAAGGGTTAAGCCTTTTACAACCACCAGTTTTGGATATTATCTTCGCATAAGCGGGCGTTAATTAATACTTGTGATAATCCAAGTTCTCTCTGCGTTTAACTTTATAGCTAAATTGTAGCGCTTATAGCTTGGATATTTTATAGGAAAGAGGAAAACTAGTTTATGAATGGTTTGCATCCGAGAACAGATTTGAGTGAGTGGAGTTATCACAGTAAGTAAAATCTAACCGAAGGCAATTACTTGCAGGCACTAATAGTTAGATCTATTAATGCGAGCCCTAACTAATATTATAAATAGTTTTAAATTTACTTAACTAGAAAAGAACATTAATAATTATAAAATCTATATGTTAAATTTATTCATTTAATTACGTTCCATTAAAGTGGAACTACAAGTTTTTTTAAAGAAAAGTAGGTTACTCTAAAATTAGGCGTTTCAATTATCTATTCCATAGTAACCAGTAATCAAAGTTAACGAAAAGGAGATGGGAAAAAGCTTCCCGTTAAAGTTATAGTTAGATTCTCAAGATAACTACAATTAATAAATATAAGCTACATAGTTAGAACCTAAGCGACAGAAACTAAATAAGGCACATGAGCTGTTTAGTTAATTGTCTGTCAATAATGAGTAAATAAATAAAGCTCATGCTCCACACCAGAAGGGGGTAACTTTTTGGGGTCTAGACAGTAATTTCTTTTGGCGTTGTACCTCTAAAGCTGTATTTAGTCAATAATACTGTTATATAGTCTCTAAGATCAAGAATGGAAAAATTTACATAAGTAGAAGGCCTTATAACGGTCAATTTCATATTTATATAGCTTTTTTTTAACAATTGACATAATTTTCGCCTTAGTGCTATTGTTAATGTTCAATCTTACACAGTAACCACTACTTTAAACTAGGACTTGTTGCCAAGTTGAAAACTTTATTTTTTAAATATTGCACCTTAGGTCCTACTAGTGAGAAAAGCTTTATGATAGCGTTTTGATATTTGTTAACCTTTTCTATAATTGGTACATTCTATTAACAAAAAGGTCTTTATTAATCCTTAAAGTATATTCATAAAAACGTATAAAGCCCTACTCTATAGGAAAATTGTAAAAATTTGCCTGGAATATCTTATAATTAAAACCTTGGTATCCTAGTCGATTTAGTAAGGAAATATAGTTAAAAGTTTATACAAATTTAGTAAAGCCAGATTACGGATGCAAGCAAAAATTGAGGCGCATAATTATATTCCATGAAGGTAATACAATACCATTAAAATAGTACCTCCTTTTCTTATTTTTATTAAGTTCTGTAGAGCAAAGTGCACTTTACAGAGTTTGCACTCTGAAAGTTTTAAAAAAAATGAGTTTCATATATGTGCGTAAAAAGGTGTTTTATATTCGAAGCTCAATTATAAAACTGCAGATTATGAAAACATTAACATATTTGGAATTACCAAGACTAGCATTCTGTAGTCATACAGTTATTATAAGGCTTGAGCTACTATTAAGAAGTGGTAAAATATTGAAACCAAAAAATCACTATAATTATGGCAGTAGGTACTAGATTAATAGTTGTTACCGCTTTCAAAGAAAAGCACAAGGGACTATACACTACAGGTAGATGTTTCACAATCTTTATTGCACCGGTTGGTTAACGTGGAACGTAAAATATTTTGACTTAAAGAGAATTTAAACAGAGTTAAGCCTCCACGAAACCACGCACAATCAAGCAGGAGGAAGAGGTCTGATAGCTAAGAATAGGGATTTTTACTTTACCAGCTGTCGAGCAACAAGAGAGACCACTCACTATTTAGCTTAATTTTTCAAACGGTAATATTACAAAAAGACTAAAAATCCGCCTGTTCATACCCTTTTTAATCGCAGATCGTGATAACTAATGCTTGATAGGATCGAACTACACAACTTTAAATCTTATAAAGGTCTTCAAACAATTGGGCCTTTTTCTAAGTTTACTGCCATTATAGGACCTAACGGCTCTGGTTCTTATAAGTTAAATTATAAATATTATATCTAGATTCTTTTTTCTTCATATAGGAAAGTCCAATTTGATGGATGCAATAAGTTTTGTTTTCGCTTGCACCAGAGCTGACAGATTACGAGGGAACAAAGTACAAGATTTATTACACAAGGGGTTGACTTTGCTCTAATTCGAGTATTGTGCTTTTAGCATTACTTTTATTTTGTTAAAGCGAGTCGCACGGCTCTGTTTGCGCCATCTTTAAGAACGGAAGCGGAGAATTACAGTTTGAAAGAAGGTTTCAATAATAATGCTTTTCTTCCTACTAATAAGTTTCGGGTACTTTTTACTTTTCCGCACTATCTGGCAGGTTTAATAATGGTGGCACCGAATATTTTGTTGGTAAAGAAAAAGTGTCCCGTGAAACTTACCTTAAACACTTGGAGAGTATTTCGATTTTGCCCAAAATTCAAAATTTTCTCGTGTTTCAGGTATTCATATTTTCTGCTGTCCCAATTTGTTTGTTATCACTACGTTAGGGGGAAGTTGAGGATATAGCCGGAAAGAATCCTAAAGAGCTGACAAAACTTTTTGAGAAAATTTCAATGTAGTAGAATAGAGAACTTTATTACCCTTTATTTATTTGGTGGCTACTAGTACTGAGGAAGATAAGGAAAAATACTTGAAGGCTAAACGAGAAAAAGAATTAACGGAAGATAAAGAAAATGAGGTTTATCAAAAGAAAAAAGGCAAGAGATTTATTGATCTTGACTTCGATTTAAATTTCCTTGGCTAGAAACTTTTTCTTTTCCTTTTACTAAAACTGCTTTCGGCTACTACGCAGGCGCCACTGCAGAGAGGCAACAATATAAGGAGCAACAAGAGGAAGCAAACTGCTGGCAGGAATTGAAGCAGCAACTGGTAGTGTACTCCTCAGCTGAGCTGCATACCTTTTTATTCTCCTTGCAGAATTCACTCCAACTGGAATTCGTTCTGTTTAAACTTTTTTATATGGACCGCAAGCTTGGTATGGCCGAGATGCCGTATTTTTGCCAGTAAAACTCGATAACCTGCGAATAGAAAGCGTGACTGAGAGAAGTACTCTTTTACGAAACCAAGTAAAGGAACAACAGGAGCAAGTGGAGGCTGCGACCGCGGGTTGCCTACCCTTCCTGCCCGCCAGTTATGGGCGTTTGCACATTTTTAACATTAGAGCTTCAGAACAAAAGAAAAAGGCACGCTAAGCTAACGAAGGCGTGCCACTTACGACTTGACGAAGTGAAGGCAAAGGTCACTTGTACTTGTTGAAGACAATTGCTTTGCTCCACTGATCCGCGTGCGTCTCTCCAGGAACGCGAGGTGAATAAGATCTTTCCGGAACTTAACAAATGCAAGGAACAACTCCAGAGGCGCATGACATCAGCTCGTATTCTCTTGGTCTATTTTTTTAACCAAACGCGTACAGCTGCGAAAAGAAGATCGAGAAACTAAGAAACCAGCATAGTAAGGCAGAGAAGGTTCACACGGCCAGTAGCCTGCGCGTCCAGCAACTCGAGGTTGAGTGCAGTTTTATAACTGCCAGCGCTTGCCTATAATCTCTCCTTGTGCAGGCTGATCTCTTTAACGTTGAGGAGAGCATGAGAGACTTCGAGCAGAAGCAAATCTTAACGATGGGAATCCACCTTAAGCAGGAGCAACTTGAGGAGGTTTCATTGAACTCTTTGCGGAATAGAAATTGCAGGTGAAAAGTAAAACAAGTACACGAGACTCAAAGAGGAGGCCACAGCGCAGACGCTCTTTGTTGATTCCGAACTTAATCAAAAGAAAAAGATTCTCGAGTCATTCCAAGAAGATCTGCAAAGAGAGCGTACGAGAGAAGAAGAAATACTCGTGACCATTCGCCAGCGTGGTAAGGCCGAGCTTGCTATCTCGTCCATGCGTACGGGTGCTCACGACCGATATACGCAGAAGCTACCATTTCCCACTACGAACATCGGCTGGTCCAACTGCAAGAGGAGGAGCAGAAGACTTCTCGAGAGTGGAAGGCTGCCCGCGATAAACTTGCTCGCGTCAAAGAAAACAACAGCCTCATTAGCATGAAGGTTCACTGAGTCGCCTAGATCCCAACCCGAGATTCACTATCGCGCTTCAGGTCAGCAGTCTTTTTGAGCAGGAAAGACTTGTAGAGGCAGACTTGCGTGAGGCCAAAGCCGACAAGCACGGTTGGTGCACTGCTTGCGGCAACTACTTCATGCCTTCTAGCAATGACCACCGTTGCAGAAAGTCATCGCGAGGTTCAGTTCCAGCTTGCACTGGACGGCCTTATGCGACTGTTTCCTGGCGTCCACGGAAAGCTTATGGACCTCTGTATACTCTTCCACATGTCGCCTGTTTTCACGTTGCCTTGTCCTAATGACTTTTAGGTACCCCAGTCAGCAGCAAATACAGTGTTGCCCTAGCAGTCGTCTTCGGCAAGAATATGGTGGAGAGCCTTCATATTTAAAGAGTCGCATGGTCATTTTCCCCTTTTTATTACATGCAGAACGCCATTGTAGTACAAGATCTCCAGACTGCTCGAGCATGCATCCGTCATCTCAAAGAGCAGCGCCTCTGTACAGCAACATTTCTGCCCCTTGACACTATTGAAGTCCTCTTGTCCTCATTATTCTGGCTAACTAATGGATCTTGGCTCGTTCCAGGGGCAACCTATTAGCGAGAGGCACAGAGCACATGGCGGCACCTGCAAGCTGGTAGCAGACATTGTCACCTGTAATCCCGGTGAGCCCTTGAAGCTTGCCACGTGTTATTCACTGAGGGCAAAAATACGCCAATTGTAGCGGTGGGGCGAGCCGTCGAATTTGTTTGCGGTAACATACTTGTGTGCGACAGTTATGAGGAAGCAGCCAGGTTTTTTCCGGCCCTTTTTTTTTCTTCCCGGGCCACGTGAAGCTCCGAATTGCAGGCTTTGCTTTGGGAGTTCTGAGCGCTACAACTGCGTGACCCTCGACGGCACTTTTATAAAAAAGAGTGGTCTTATTACAGGGGGAGTGGCAAGTCTGCAAGGGAAAAGCCAGCAGTGGGGCCAAAAAGCAGTTCACGAGCTAAAAGCAAAGCGCGTAAGGTTGTGTGCTTGTGCAAGGGTCTGCAACTCGCTTTGCTTATTGGCCCGCAGAGTCCATACCGAACTTGAAGAGCTGAAACAAAAAATAACCCCTGAGCACGAGGTAGCGGAACTGGAGGCGCAGGTTTGCCTTACTCTGTACCACTTGCTGTTGACCTCTTACTTCGACTACGATTACTGCTCCAGGTCGAGCTTCTGGCAGAAAGGCTCCGGGCTGTCCAACAGGAGCTCCTATTAGCCAAGGAGAAGCTGGGGCAACTGCAAAAAGAGAGCCAAGGCCTCGCTCGCCACTTGGACACTTTAAAAGGTGGTTCTCTGACTTTCCTAGTTCTCGTTTTATTGGCTGCCTTTAGTTTGAAAGTATTATGAAGCCAGTAAAGCCTTTAAATAAACTTTTTTTGTAAACTAACAACAAAAGTTGAGAGCCTTCTGAAGGAAGTTGACAGAGCGACGCACGACTTGTCGTTGCTTGAGACTAAAAAGTCAGAAATAGTCAACTCCGTTTTTTGCGACTTTTGTAAAAAACTCAACATTTCCACCATTCGAGAGTTTGAGGTTCACTAGTAACTCCCTGAATTTTTCGGGGGCATGCAAAATTTTTTTTCAGGGTACTTCTCTCAAAGAGGCACGAGAAGTCAACGAAAAACGACTTCAGTTTCGCACTGTTATCTCAAAATTAAAAACTGAACTGGAATACGAGAGATCGAGGAATACGGCTTCCGTCTTGCTTCAGCTTCAGAAGGTATTATTTGCTCGTGTTCAGCGTTATATCGCATACACCCCCTTTTATTAGCAAATGGATGAAGAAGAGAACTCTTTAAAATTTTTGCGAAAAAATTGCGAGGTACTGGCGGCCAAACAGCTGAAGTGCAGAGACGAGTTGAACGCTGCAGAGCAGCATCATCTTGAGGGTATCCTGCTCTCTTGCTTACTTTGGCCCATCACATGCTGACGGGGCTTCAGCTGCCGAACTTCTGAAGAAGAGTGCCGCCGAAGCAAAGGCCATTCTAAAGGAACTTGCCGCTCACAAAGCCGCTCATAGCGCTCTTTTAAGCAGTCTTTCCGAATTGGTACCAGTCGCTCTCTGCTTGTGTAGCCAACCACCTAGTGATGCTCCCTGTGAACCAATTGAAAAAGGAAAGAGAGGGGGATAGAATTAATGAGCAGCGAAGTAATCTGATTTTGGACTGCCGTTTGAACCAAATAGAACTCCCGTTGCTAGTTTGCTTTGTATTTTCATGGTATTTCTTGCTGGCCTCTACTTTCTGCTTTCACAGAAAAACAAAGCAAAAGGGGGCGAGGTTTGCGAATTATCCGCTGTGGACTATAGAGGACTAGCCACAGAGTTGAAAAGGGTTCTCCCGTAAACCATACGCCACAATTATAAGGCACTAAACTTCCAAACAGTTGAAAGCACCAGAAGATGTCCAAAACGTGCGGGAAAATTATGAAAAGAAACTGCGCGCCATCACTGAAAAAATTGAACAAATGACACCGAATTTGAAAGCCGTCGAAAAGTGATTTGTTATATGCCGGAATGATGCTCGTGTTAGCGCTTTTTGAAGGGCGAAAACCGCCAAGGAAAAGGTGAGGGTCCTAGATAGAGAGTACCGCCAAGTAGTTGAATCCGCCAAAAGCGCCAAAAAGACTTTTGAGCAACTGGAGAAAGAAAGGTCCTTTGGCGGAGAGCTCGTTTAGACTTATTTATTGGTTCGTTTATTTATAGAGTGGAGAAGTTTACGAACGTCTTTCATACTGTACGCGAAAGGATCAGCGAAATCTACAAGAGCCTCACAGAAATCGCTGACCAACCCGGTCAGCACGGCATTGCCGACCTCATATTAGAAGACGAATCCGTATCTTCTTGATGCTCAGATCCTTCTCAGTATGTACTAATATGGCTGCGTGCAGGAGCCCTTCAATAGCGGAATCGAGTACTCTGCCATGCCGCCAGGTACAGTGAAGATTAAGCGTCCATAAAAAGCCAGCTGCTAAGTTTATCCGTCTAGGGAAGCCCTACAGGCAAATGGAGCTTCTGTCCGGCGGTGAAAAGACCGTTGCAGCTCTGGCGCTTCTGTTTGCCATCCATAGCTGCATGCCTTCGCCTTTCTTTATTCTCGACGAGATCGACGCCGCCTTAGACATTATGAACGTCGAAAAAGTTGCGAATTACATCAAGCTGCGTTCTTTGGATTTCCAGGTACCCTACTGGTTTTCCTTCAAGATTCGTGAGTGCTTTTCTTGCGTTCCTAGTGCGTGGTCATCTCTCTGAAGGATGTCTTCTATTCGAAGGTAATTCCTTCTGCTTTACACGCGCGGCCATTCGTCATTAACAGAGTGGAACGCAGGCGGACACTCTGGTCGGAGTCTACAACGCCGGGGCGAGCTCCACTCTAACTCTGGATCTTACAAGGTTTGACAGCCGCTGAGATCACTAGCTTACTAACCAAGTCAATAAAGCTTGGCGATCTTATGACATCACCGTAGAATAACTATAGCGTTTTCATGTTTGTTGCTTTTATTAAAATTTCACTCTACGGGGTCATGGCGTGGTACTGGTCGAGAGCGTCTTCTCTGAACTGCTGCTGCAGGCGCCGCTTGAGTCTCTTCTTAATCCAGGAATCTTCCTTTAGAAGGGCGCTTTCGATATAGACTCCGCAGCCTAAGTGATGATCCATGCAAGGATCAAAGACCGTCCACCAATCATACAACTGTTAAACTTACCTATGTGTGGGCACTTCACTTTACGCGTCTTCAGACTCGCAATATTTAGCAACTGCTCTATGGCTTCCTTTTCGAAAACATGACCGCATAGCTCACTATATATATATATATAGCAAAAAGACATCCTAAATAATATCACGGGGATATACATAGTTCAAAAAATATATAAATTATTCTATAGCACAAAAGACTGTTGCTGTACCTTAAAATTCTCATAACTTAAAAAATGGATTTAAGTTATATAATATTAATATTGGGAAAGAGGAGGCGTACTGTTTTACAGGATCCTTAAGCGGTGCTTGGGAAATGGGGCAGAGAAAAGTTTCAGTTTCTTGAGTCACTATTAGGTCTTCGTAGTACTCTTCAGCAGGGGACTGAGCGTTTTACGAGGATAAAGTAAAGTAATTTTTTTGTAGCTAAAAAAAAATACAATTTTATTTGACATAAATGTTATAAACGGGTGATTCTTTATATCACTTCCAAGTTGCTTTTGATATTCTTCTGCCAGGTTTTTATTATATTTCTCCCTCCAATCCACCTCAAAAGTTAGCGCTTTTAAAAAGGATAAAATCAAGGGAATTATGATAAACCAAAAAACCTGTGGTACATCCATAGTAAGAGAACTAAGCGTATTACCTACTGCAATAGCCAAATTTTGTGCCTTCGCAAGTTCTAAGATACTTTCTTTAAGTTTCTCTGTCTATTTATAATATAAAAGAAAAACAAAACTTTTTGTAATTATAAAAAAGCTATACCAAAGAGTTGTATATTACATCTTTATGGATATCTATCAAAACTTCTGTTATTGAAGTTTTAGCAACTTCTAAGCATTCTTTTAATTTTTCGTTAGCGCGGGATAAGCGCTTAACCTCTTGTTGTACCAACTCTCCAGTCCCCATAAATATTTGCGTTAACTCCTTAAGCACGAAAGTGCCTGCGATAACTTAATATCTGCTTCGGTATTGGCTTGACATAGTAGCCCTCATGTCGTGTTGGACATTACTGTTTGTTTAAAAAAATGGTTTGCTAAGACGCCTATATGGAAAGTCAATTTCATCAGATAGCTATTCCTTAGATGTCAGTAGACTTTTCAGCAATTAAGTGCAATCGCGCCGAATATCATTCTGAAAATTTTTTTTTTTAAAGTAGCTCTATAGGCTTAATTTGATTTTCGTTTAACCTTTGACGAACGAACTTCCAAAAAATAACAAAGGAAACCCTTGATAATATGTCATGAAATTGTGGTCCGTGCGGAAGACATAGATTTTAAAGACTATAAGGAATTTACTAAATGTTTATCATAATTAAATGAAATTTATACAAAATTTTAAGTTTAGCATTTAAGGCAAATATTTTCTAGGACAAGTCGTTTTGAGCGTAAAAAGTTAGTACACTCCAAGAACTTTTATCTTCATTTCCTATTTTTTTTTTAAGTTAACGTAGCAACGTTTTTACCATCGTGTAATCTCCGTTTGTATTTAGCAGAAAAAATCTAGTAGGGACAGGTTTAAGCTTAGCGATAAATCTAACTAGTTGACTTAGTTGTCGAAGGTATAGCTGAAAAGTATATGCTCGCCTGGCTTTTTGTTTATAAAGAACACCAAGACTAACATTATAAATTCCTTTATAAAATTGCGAAATTACTGTTGCTTATAATAAGCTTAATAGAAATAAGGAGTCTTGTTTCTCTGTAACAAAAGTTGTATACGTAATCGATCGACCGAAAATGTGAGCTGTCACCATAGTTCAGTGGGTTGTGCATTTTCGCGCAATCCCAAGGGTGCGGATTCGATTTCCGTCGGAGCCAGCTCGCGCTTAATTGGTCTGGTGCTTATGTGTATAACTTCTAAATAAAAATTCTAAATTTCTAGCTCAAGATTAGCCAGGGGTTAACAGAACCAATTTATTAAAGGTAATGGTGTTTGAGACTTTCAGAAATGACTATTACCTAGCTGAGGCCTCACTTTTAATGTGGTAAAAAATCTAACAGGTATAAATTTATATGTAGATAACTGCCGCTAGCATAGAATTACGTAATCCAGAAATTGAACCTTAATGCCTGCATTGAAATTCAAGGATAAAATTAATAGCGCATAAACAATAGCTAAATCAGTGTAAATATATATGCTACTTAGCGCAAAGCTGGTTTCGATCTCGCCGATCTTTAAGCGCTCTAAGTGAAGAAAAAAGTTGAAACGAAAGCATTATTCTAGCAAATTTTATAGTTACTAGAAGATACCCTTTTATACAACTTAACCTTAAAAAAAATAAGCAGAGGGGACGTCATGCCTGTTAGTAAGGCGAAGTAAAATAGAAAAAAAAGAGAAATAATATTAGACAAACAGTCGGTAATGGAAGAACATCAATAACTTGGTTTTTTAAAAAAGCACCTAACTAGAAGAAATTAGGAATACGGACTAAACACAGAAGCTAAGTACTAAGAACTTAAAAAACTAGAAGCAAAGTTGAAACATGAGTAGAGGCGGTAGGCACCGGATCCGATCCCGTTTACTTCACATGATTTACCTCGACGAGCGTAGTTGCAAGACAAAAAGAACAACACTTTTTTTCCTTTGGGATTTTTTTCTAGGTGGCGCACCCCTCTGCTCTTTCGCTAGATCCTTTTTAACCCTGTGATCAGACACTAGGTAAACCATCATTATTTGTTTTGCCCCTTAGTTCTAAAGAGTTTAATTACCAGCGCTTATTATTTCAGAGGACTTTACAATCTTAAGTTCATAGCAAAACCTGTGAAAGGCGGCTCCAAAGTGTTTCTTACGTCCGTAAACTTACTTTTTTTGAGATAAAAACCAAATATAAATATATAAACTAACAGGCGTAAAGACACAACTAGAACAAGATTAGAGTTATGGTACAACAAAGCTAAGCTGTGCGCGGTTAAGAAGAGAAATTATAACTAAGAGCTTATAATAGAAAGAGAACTTGTAAGAGAAATAAGGAAAAGGCCCTTATTTGGGAAGAGCATCAGAACCTTACTTTAGATGTTAAGCTTTAAAACCTCTACCTACGCGCTAAAAATGCAAAATAAGTAAAGCGATATTTAGAAAACTCATTAGCCGTGGTCGCAGTTAATCCGACCATACAAAATAAAGATAGTGAATGCTATCACATTGCAGGTGTAGTGCTTTACTAGTGGCTAAAGATAAATAAGGAAACCCTGTTAATTACTCATCTGGCGACATTCATTTATGTTCAGTTAATTTACCAAACGTTAGAATTAGTCCGAATGGCTCCAGGCAACAGTGTTATTGTTACTCGTTATGTTATAATTACCTCTCCTTACTCTACTTAATACCTTAAACTCTATACCGTCTTTTAAAACAACGATCTTATAACTCTAATAACTTTGTATTAAACTATTGCTTATAGGTAGTAGAGTATATCATTTTACAGTGGTTAAGCTTTTGAAGTCGTACATATACTAACTCGTAAAGCATGGTGAAAACCATTAAATCACCCATTAATTAAACTTCATTCTACTGTAGGAGCTTATTGACAGAACTTTTAGCGTTTGCTAGAATCTGTTATAATTTATTTGATTTTTAAGATTTCGTTCCCTCTCCTAGACATCATATCTCTAGAATTTTGTTACCTTTGCGGGTAGTTTAATTGATGGATCATAAAAATTTTGACAGTTCAATTTTAGTGTTTCTAATTAAACTCTATTAAGCAACACGTTGTTTTTTTGTGAACTGACTTAGTTTGGCTTACTACAATAAAAAGGCCATAGTAAGACATGTTTTTTTATTTTTTCAAAATTAGTGCTGTTATATAGAATATTTAAGCTCATCATTTCGTGCTAACAATTTAAAAAGTCACAATGCGACACTGAAAAAATTGTAGGTAGCTACTATCTTGAAGTCGAGTTTTATATCTGCCGAAATTATTGTCTTGTAGCTTCTTATTAATAGGTCATTCAGACAGCGTAACTATACTGTCACAAATAATAAATTCATATCTTCATAAGGTAAGCGACGTTACTCTTACATATGTATTTGATAGTTGCTACTCTTTATTAACTTTAAAAAATACAAAGCCTATTTTTTTTGCTACTAAACCCCCAAAGAATTTCCATATCATTTAGCCCCCGGTATGCAGGCTTAGATAGGGGTACAGATCTGTAAATCACTTACATTTTAAGGGGATTACTATACTTACATTATTATTATATAAGGCGGTACCATATCGCTTTTATTTAATTTTTTTTACATTCTTAAGTTTGAAAACAAAACATTTAATTGGTTTTGAGATGATAGGTAATCGAGGAATGGACGACTTGATTCCCGTTGTTAATAAACTTCAGGATGCTTTTTCTACACTTGGTCCCCCTCTTGCTTTATAATGTAATTTAAACTTAAGAACTACAACTATAGGTAGACTATGTCCACTGGACTTACCTCAAATTGCAGTAGTAGGCTCGCAAAGTTCGGGGAAGTCCTCTGTGTTGGAAAGTTTTGTAGGAAGGTATATATTTTTCTTTATCCCAAACTCTCTTAAAAAGGTAAATATAAAATAAAAACTAATAATTAGGGATTTTTTACCTCGAGGAGGCGGTATTGTTACAAGACGACCGTTAATTTTACAATTGCTCTACTCGAACCAATCTGAATACGGCGAATTTCTTCACACAAACAGAAAGTTCATGGATTTCAATGAGATTCGAAAAGAAATTGAAGCTGAAATGGATCGTGGCACAGGTTTTATCATTTATGAAGGTTTATTAAACACCTTTGGTAAATACTGTAGGGTTCCTGGTTTACTTTAGAAGGTGAAAAGGGAGTTTCCTCTGTTCCTATCAACCTAAAAATCTACTCTTCTCACGGTACCATACAACTAATATATTGTTGCCACTACTCTTATCACCAACATTTGTTTTTTCAACGCAACTAAATTTACCTTTTTCTCTGTAGTATTAAATTTAACACTGGTCGACTTACCCGGTCTAACTAAGGTTTTCGCTTTTATTACGACTTGCAGTTAACTTTTCTTTCGGGTAACATTAAACTGTGCAGGTCGCCGTTAAAGGGCAGCCGACTGCCATCGAAAAGTTAATAAGGGATATGATTATGGAGTATATAGTTAGAGTTAAGTGACTGCCACTATCCTCCTTCCAAAAGTTTTTTGAATATTAATTTAGCCAAACTGTCTTATCCTTGCCATATCTCCGGCCAATTCGGATTTGGCCAATTCGGATGCGCTTCAACTGGCCAGAGAGGTTGACCCGAGTGGTCAGTTTCTTTTCATCGTGCGCCCGAGTAGCGTTCAATGACCAATTTTCGCTTTCACAGGGACCCGGACTATAGGCGTCATCACGAAGCTGGATCTGATGGATGAGGGTACAGACGCCCTCGATGCTCTAGAAAACCGTCTTATTCCGCTTCGGCGAGGATATGTGGGAGTCGTCAATCGTTCGCAAAAGGTTTACCCTTTAAGCACTCGCTCTTGGCGCTTTGTAACTCTATAAAGGCCATCGAAGAACGAAAAAGCATCGACGAGGCTCGCAAGGAAGAGAAGCAGTTCTTCGAAAACCATCCCGTATACCGCCATTTAGCAGAAAAAATGGGCACTATACAACTCCAGCGCGTCCTGAATCAGGTGGCTTGCTTGCTTTATACTGCTTTTTAGTGGACATTCACAAGCATTCAGCAATTGGAGAGACACATATGCGCCTCCGTACCTCACATAAAATCTCAATTGGCGAAAGAAGTAGCTCTTCTCGAGAAACAAGTGCGCGAGTTTGACCAGCATGACCTTTCCAACAATGAAAAGGTAGTGCCTCGTTGCATTCTGCCGCCCTCAATCCCACCTGCTCTTTTAGCCGGCAGCTAGGTTGATGCAGATCCTTCAGAGATTTTCATACGAGTACTGGGGCGAAATAAACGGCTTTACTTCCTCTTCAGTACGTTTACCTGCAAAAGGAAGTGGCACGCGTTACCCGCCTGATCTGCGGGATCTTTTTTCTATAGGTCAATTTAGAGAGCCTATCCGGCGGGGCGCGGATCAATCGCATCTTCTTCGAGTCTTTTCCATACGAGATATCTAAAGTGCGTCTACACAAGTCGACTGCTTCTTAGTAACTGCTAAGTTGTTATACACCGTTAGTACGAAATGGACGAAAAAAGGGTTATTAACGAGCTTTCGACTCTTGTATTGAACGTTAGAGGTTACTAATTGGACTTTTTTGCATCCTCCACAAGAGTGGGGTTTAAAGTTATAGGGATAGAGGATAAGAATTTAGTGCTTAGCTTAAAACTTGCATTCATGTACGTTTGCCCACGCCTTCATAGGGGCCCTCTCCGGCATCTCCACTCCTGATTATGCCTTTTTCAAAATATGCGAAAGGTTGTCTGTAGACGGAAGGTTTTTTTGCGGCGCTTTTTTTTACTCCTTATTTAGGCAAATCGAACGGTTCAGGGCGCCGTCGCTCTACTGCGCTGAGGCGACTATGAACGTTCTAGTAGAACTGGCTCTTTCAACCTCTGAAAAGGCACGACGGCAACTTCCTGTCTTTTTCGTGCATATTTCTAACTGACGGTTTTGTAAGTAGCTCTCTACTTACCCTCGCCTCCGGGAAGCTCTTGAGAGCTGTCTAAAGAAGGCCATAAAGAGTGGTTTGTCATACTTGCTTCATGCTATTAAGTGTGCGAGTAACAACGACGATAGAGCACCAGAGAACCATTGGACAGGTCAACTACTACATTAACTGCCAAAAAGCATATATTAACGTGAACCATCCGGAATTTTTGACGGACAAGCGGTATGAAGAAAACACCTTCGGTGGAACGACGTCTTATTTTTGTGTTTTTTGTTACCGAATAGTTCTTACAAAACCTCAACAAGTGATTTGAAGTCGAACACTACAGTCCGTAAGGTAAACGCTATGTGTAGACCCGTAAAGACTTCTTCCTCCCTTGACTTGGAAGTGCAGGGCTACATGCTGCTTCATTCTAGTGGGCTCGGATCCTCCAATAAAGAGTATTGGTTCGTCCTGACTGTGGACACTCTGTCGTGGTTTAAGGACAACAAGGTTCTTCTTCTCCTCCACCTTACTCCTGCCCCGGCTCTTCTTCCTTGCAACAGGAGCAGGACAGGAAGCACTCCGTAAGCACACAAGGGCTCAAAATTCGGCACCCCCCGAAGGGTCTTTAGCTTCCTTTGGCGTTGCCCCTCTGCTGTTGAACTATAAACAGGACTATTGAAGAAGCTGTACAAGGGACAACCTTCTTTCGAGCTCTATTATCCTTCCAAAAAGGCTTTGTACGATAACGCCCTCTCCTTGCAACTCTCGGCGCACTCCCAGCAGCAGCTCGACGAATGGAAGGCCGCCTTTCTTCGGATCGGTATATTTTTTCGTTCCTTGTCAGGCTTCTTCCTACAAACTAGTCTACTTCCTATGAGGTGTCTTATACGAGCATGACAAAAAGGACGACTCCCAGGAAGACGGCCCGGAACACTCTTTTGACCCTTGTAGCGCGCTTTGGAACCCCTCTGAATTTTTATTAACATTATTTACTAGCGTTGGAAACTCATCTGGACAACTTGCGCTGCTTGCTGGAAAACTATATACAAATTGAAAGCAAGAGCGTCAAGGTGTCGGTTTGCGTCAAGTGTGCTGTTCGCCCTTTTACCCCACTTAACTCAACTATCAGGACCATATCCCAAAGCTCATTATGAATTTTCTAATAAACTCCATGAAAAGAGTGCTGGACTCGCTTTACGCAGAGTTTCTTGATTGGATTTGTATTTTCATTCGAAATTTTATAAGTCAGGAAAGTATAGGATTGTCAGCGAGCATCCTGTATCCTATTTGATGGAGGAGAGCGTTGAAGAAAAACGGCTTCGGGAAGACACTTTAAATATGTATAAGCTGGCCACCGACGCTTTAAAAGTTTTAAGTACTATTTGAATTGCACGTGAGCAGTTGCATTCTTGTCTTAATCTTTATTTCAATGTCACAGCCGAGATAACCAGGAAGACAAACTTACTTTCTTCCGCCGATGGCGCCTCCTCAGAATCGCCGCCCGAGCCAGCCTCTCCTCGGAAGCCTCCTGCTCCAGCCCCCCCCAAACCTCCTCTCCCCTCTCAGCTTCCCCCGGAAGTCTCTTCGACCTCTTCTATTAACGTAACAGGTTTTTTATCTTTATCTTCTTTTCTTGTTCGGGCGGTTTTGCATGTTTGCCGTTGCAGAGCTACCACGGACACCTCCGAATCCTCCCCGAGAGACTTCAGCAGGGGCTTCCGTTAATCAGAAGACTGGTTCGTTCGTGTGTGCGTTTCTTTGTATAACGTCGCACGGTAACGCTTGTTTTAAAAGAAGCTGAATTCACGCAAAAGGAAAATACGCCCACGCAAGAGATCGATCTGACTAACACAGTGCCAATGCGTAGAAGTGCATTGTCTTTCAGTTGTCCTTAGCATCACAGTTATAAATATATTTTTTATAGCAAAAATGCAAAGCAGCACCTCTATAGGCGATGGAGGGGGGGGTGCGAGGAAAGCTTCAAGCTGTAATAGCATTAATATTCACTTTGCTAATTTTTTCTTAATTACTTAATATCTTTCTAAAAGCCGGGCGTTCTGCTATACTAGACAGGGTCTGTCTATTTGAGTCATTCGGTCAGAAAAATTCCCCTAGTTTGGAAAAAAAAGTTAGCAATACCGAAGTGCTGCGACCTGTGTCGGGGACTTTCCCGAAAATTCCTCCTCGGCCAAAGTGATTGAAACACTTAGGGTTTTCAGTGCAGTAATAAATTTATGACTCCTTAAATTTATATTGTAGTATCATTAAAAAATTGTAGGCTTTTTCGTTGCGAAGTTGAATGATAATTTCATGTGTAGTATAAAGTCGCTATAGAGGGCTTTGGGTCTTTAATAATACGAGTTGGTTCAGTACGAAGAACGCAAGCAATAGTACTAATAATTTTTCTCGTTACCTCTTATATATTGCATATTACAATTTTAATCGTACAAGCTTATTTATGCCATTGGGTTATAATTCAATACTGATCAATAATTTTGGTTTAAACTATTGAAAAGTCTGTTTGTGCCAAAGTTACTTATATATTAAAGCTGACAGCACTTTCCATTATGAGAACTATCTAAACCGAAATAAAAAGAGAACAAAAAAATAATTTTATACTTCTAAGAGAATGAGCCAACTTTTGTAGTGGTAAATAAAGCCAGAGCTTCCTCAGTACTATTTATATTTTGCTGGAATACCGCCCTCTTTTCCATAAGGGCTTGAGCACTTAATCTGTAGTAAAAAAAAAACAACAACACGAAAAAATAAAAATAAAAAATGAAATTTTTTAATTTGAAAAAAATTTGAAAGGTATGATAAGTTAAGATGGTTAGTTAACAAAAAGATTACAGGAAAAAAAATTAAAAAAATTCCCTCGCACTAAATGGATACAGATTAATTTAATGAATTTTTATAATTTGGGAGGGAGAGGTTTATTATACATTTATGGAATAATTTTTTCATATTGTAAAGAGTTGATACTTGCCCTCAGACACCGACTAAAATAGCGTTCACGTTGATGACGTAGAAGAAGGAAGAAACAGAAACAGGTTTGATAAACTGAATTATGCCTTCATCCGTATAAAAAAAGTGATATAAAAAACGCAGTTATACAAGTATATGTACACTAAACTCATAAGGCATTAAGATGCATGATCTGCATTTTATAATAGCCGTTATTGGCTATAATCATCACGAGACGGGCTTAAATGCGGTAAGGCTCCCCTGCGTTTTGTAACTATACAAGAGGGTATAAATCACAAACTGAAAACTGGTCAAAACAGCTTTTTATATACAAATCTGTTAGTCTCTATTCTTTACCTTCAAGAAACTGGAACACAATCGCATTCTTGTTTTCTAAAGAATAATGACTTTTCCGAAAGGCAAAAATAGTGGAGACATTAGACCAAACAGCCACAATTTTTTTTTAGTAATGATTTCGAAGATGCTCCAGCAACCGAGCGCAGATTGCTTAGGTAAACTAATTACGTAGATTATATTTCGTACTCCGTATTCAGTTTGGTAAGTCGTCTTAAACATCTTATACATATATGTGCATATATATATATGTGTGTGGGTTTACTAAAAGTGTGTGCTTAAAGAAAATCGCGGAGCCGATGGAAGCATGCGCCTATTTAGCATTCGTATTTAAGTTCTTGAGCCCACTGAGGTTTATATGCCTACTAACAAGAGCTGCATATAATAAAGAAAACTTCAATTCATTCCAGTAGTCCTTCGAACAAGTTTGTTTTGTTACGGCTGCTGGAGAGCAGTCCTCGATAGTTTTTTTTTTTTTTTTTTAAAAGTCGCGCAGGGACATTGTGCATTTCGTCCAGGGCAGATGGTAGTGGTCGCTCCTTAGGCCTTAGTTGCCACTAATTTTACGTGTTACCGTTAAGTTAGTCGCTTATTAAAATGATGACGCCCAACTACTTGAGCTGAGAGTAAAAAAAAATTAACAAAAAATTAATCTCTCATTTTCCAATTAAAATTTACTTAATTGAAATAATATTTTAAACATCAACATAAGTAGGACTTAGTGAGAGGCTAGTGTAATTTATTTAAAGGCCTACGGGATCATGACACCTTTAGTTAGAGGCGGGGGTAGTGCAGTTCATCTGTTTAAAGTGAGGATTGCCCTGCTCTTCTCTGCATTAGGGGTTCCTGCTCCTTACCGGCTTCAGTTGGCACATGCTTGCAAGTAGCGTTGAAAGTATTGTTGTAATAATGAGGGGGTTTTTAAAGACGTGTAAAGTTCAGTATCATCGGATTAAGGTGCGAAACGAGGGTAAAAATTCGCAGGGAGACTGAATAACCACGATTATTTAATAGCTTTTAAAAATTCCTGTACTTAATTTTCCTTATCGTACGTTCACGAAAGATCCCGAATGTTTAAAAGGTTAGTAACATGGGCTTTAATTTAGGAGTAAAAATAGCTACGTTAAGTCCCACAAACAGTTATAGTGTGTATTTTAGCATGGGTAGGAGGTAGTGCAGGTAAATGGTCTAGTGCTCATTTGTACTATTATTTAGAGAGCAACGAAAAAACCATTAAAAAACAGTTTTTCCGACGCCATAGCTTTATACTACTCGAAAAGACAGATTTTCGCGGTCCATTCTTTTTTTATTTTGGTTGAGTGGCCTATATAATCATGTATTACAAATAATTTTTATCTTTCCTTTTTTGTCTTTTGTGTTTTAAGTGTGGTTTCACCACCGAGTAAAATTATATTTTGATATTTTAATGAAAATAACAGTCTAATTCACATAGTATTAAATAACGCGGTACCTTATTGAAACAGTATGCAAGTATAAATGGTTAAATCCAACTAAGGGGGATATGAGTTTAATTACTGGAAATTATTTTCATTTATTAAAAAAAACTAATTTTATAATAGGCTATATAAGCTATGTCATAACGCTAATCCATAAATTTACAAAGGGGAGCCCCCCCTAGTGCGCTAGCGCCATCTTTTAGTCGATTAATTAGTGAACTATTTCTCACTTGATTTATATGTTTTTATCTTTTTTACAAAAAAGAAAAATAATGTGTTTGACGTAAAATTTATATTTCCTAGACTTGGTTTATATCTACCAATACTGTTTTATTTTATTTTTAAAAGGTTTTCTTTTTATTTGTATATGTTCTTATAACATGTTCCAATTATTTTCCCAGTATTTTTATTTAGTTTGTATGCTTGAAATAACTTTTGGCTTGTATAATATTTATTTTACCTCCTATGGTGTATTTTTTTGATATTTATTGTATTATATGTTTTTTTTGTTAGTAATAAAAAACTTAGTAAAATATAATTTATATAATTTTATTACCAGCAAGCGCTTTACCACAGATAAAAAAATCTAAACAATTTCACTTGCTTCATTTTTGCGTATATTTTAATTTTCGTGTCTTTAGCTAGAGTGTAGGTGCCTAGTTTTTGGGATTTCATTCCTAGTTTTTTTATAGTATAGAGTTAAGAGTTGGGGATTCCCTTTCAATGGTGAATCTGTTAGTGGACGTTTTCACGTGTTATGCCGGGAGGTAACGGATGGTCATGGAATTACTACACTAATTCTAATATTCTTAGTACTATAAAGTTACTGGGCTCTTCAACACTACTAGTGAGGCTCCACAACAGCATTTGCTGATGCGCACGACTACAAAACATATAATAGAGAAGGAAATCTATTTGGCGCACGTTTGCAAAGGGTAATATCATTATACTTCTATATGATGGATATATACTTATTATGACTGCACCTATTAATGATCTACTCATACTGATATTAAACATTTTTATACTTCAGTGTATATTTATTATGCACAGATAAAAAATATATTAACCTTGCTATAGAGACCTTTAAATGAAGTCGGAATACATACATATGACACAAGGCATATTATTGAAACAATTTAATTACCACATATGAAAGTGGGCATCCATCTTAATACCTCGATAAGTGGACAAGCATTACATTTTAATATAAGTTTTTTTTATATTTAATTTTTTAATGTAAATACTACATTTGTTTAAATAAACCTCTTTCCTTGCTTTAAACCAGAATATAGAGCTTTGGACACCCTCTGAGGAACAAAAAAAAACTTGAGGTATCGAGCTTTAATAGTTACTGAAAGGACCGACAATCCAATGTTCGTATGCAGTGTGAGGATTGACCGTTTTTAAAGGCAATGATTTGTGAACAACTCATTTTGTTTACAAGTGTAAATAACTTTCGATACGCGTAATTTACAAACTGAGCTGTGGAGTCTCTGACAAGACAAATATTTTAGCTAAAACAGTGAAGCGGAATCCACACTGCATACGAAAATTCTCAAAAAACTAAGTAGGTTGAAGTTTTTTATTGATTATCAACGAAATTAAAGAACTTTCTCTACTATAACTCGTTAAACCCACGGAATGTCGAAATGTCGCAAACTGCGTTATAATAACGGGTCCAGCATTTATCGGACAAAAACAACGAATATGACAAGCACCCGAATTCAGTAACTTTAATTACCACCCCCTCTTTCCCCGTAAACTAAAATTTATCCATTAAAAAATATAAAAGATTTAAAAATAATATGCAAACACATTTTTTTTATAAAACAAAAGTCTTGCCATTCAAGAGGGCCTTTCTTTTATTTTTACTAGAGGGTGAAAGTCCCAAGTGATGGTTTGTTGCACCACAAGACGTCCCTCCGGAGTCTTGTAAGGGGCTTTAACTTGAGGTTCTGAAACCAGCTTTCCGTAATCTGCATATAATAAGAAACCATAAGACAATCGAATAAAAACTTCCCGTCGTACTTTCGCGAGAACTATTTCCCTGTTAAATATATTATTAAAGGGTCTACGATAACTTTATTTACTTGTGACTACTTATTAGATAAAAGAAAATTAATAAGTCTAGAAAATGACGGATACCTTTAACCAAATCGCAGAGTCTATTTACAACTTGCTTTACTTTGGGATCATGAAAACTTTCCCTTTTATCTTTCTACGTTGTTAAGAACAGATTTTTATAGTAATATGTAATTTAATTGACAAAAGAATACTTTCATAGAAAGATGAACTTTAAGGCCCTTATCAAAAAAGAATTTCATTTTACTGCACAGTTTTGTGTAAAGTGTAAAACACCTTAAAGGATAGAAAACAACTGTTCAGAATATTACTCTGCCTTTACTTGAAGGTCGTGTTGCTGGATGTTCATAGTAATTCTGACATATTATATAAAAATGATGTAAACTGACATTATAACTCGGCACAGGTATTGTATATAAATTCTTTAAAATATCTAATCTCTGGTTAGCCCACTCTAAATAAAAACCTTAAAACGCTAACATTTTTAAAAGCTTCATACTATAATAGTATATAAATATTTAGAAAACCTATAATAATATAGAGTATAAAGTAAAAGTTAATAACTAATAATATCCCCCTCCGAAGCTAAACAACAAACATACTCCATAACATATAAAAAGTGAAATTCGAAAACAGAAATATGAACCTAACTTCTTTCCACTTGGCAGGAGCTTTCACTTTTAAGTAAGGTTTAGATTTACAGTTCTTCGCTTTTCTCTGTTCCTTACTTTAAAATAAAATTCGAATCAAATGAACAAAAGCCGATAAAATAAAAAACAGAAGGCATAAATATGTATAAAAGATGCATAACTCAGCGCCAGATAGATCCTCTGTAAATATTTTACGGCCTATTTAAGTTTTTCGTTAGTGTGCTTTTTTTTAATAACAATTATTGCTTACAAGAGAGACTAAAGCCTAGATGTCTAATATGTTTTCCTGGACTTTTAGCTTTACTTATAAAAAAGTTTTGCTACATAACAACACTTGTTGCGGCTAGCGCCCCAATTTAATTGAGCAATGGCCTAAAGACATATTGCTTAAGAACTTAGGGTTAAGGCGACAGAAAATTTTTCTTAAACTGCAATCCATATAATCTTAGATAAGCTATTGAAATATATAAACAATAAGATAAAAATACAATTATATTTTTTTAGTATAACAGAAATTATAAAACCGAAAGGCGGGATCTAAACAAAAACCCCAGTGAGACCAACATGGGAGCAAAGCAAGTTTAAAAAAGCACGTGCGCTAGATTCAATAATTAGTATATTGTGTACAGAGTAACCATCTGCTCATTTTAGACAAATTTTTCTAAACGAATACCAGTTATTCATTTGTTACTTTAAGTACTTGTCCACTAATTTAAAATCGGACTGATTTTTAATGTTTCAACTTGTAGTATTAAATTATTAAGTTAAGAGTGAGCACATGTTGACTAAATATTCAATATCGTGTGTAATAAAATTAGAAATAAATACCTAGATATATTCTGGCAGGTACTAGACATTTTACTAACTACTAATTTAAAGAGTATTTAATTATATAAACTATGTCTATTAGCCATTTTAAGGCGGCTGTAATAAATAATTTAAAGATATTAGAAGATTTTCTACTATAACGTAAAATATAACAGAAAAAAATTTAATTTTACGCATCTAAATTATTCACTTAATAAGAGTTTAAGGTTCTCAATACTTAGTCTATGGAAGCTGTATCTTACGCACTATTACATTCATTAATAACATAAAAGGTATACGTTATGAATTTTTCAAGCCTTGGATAAGGCTAAATGGCAAGCAATGCAATCATACTTTCAAAATGGCACAACAATATTTTTACGGGGGTGAAAGGGTTTCAGTATATTTATTATTAATTGTAACTAATTCCCCCACCTCAAATTGACATTCTGGTGATTTATCTTTACCTAATATTCCATTAAGTCCTCTCGTAAGTCCGAGGAGCCAAGGTTGACACCAAATTTTGTAAAACCTTAATAGCATATACCTGGAACTTTAGTTGGACGGAATTCGGTGTTGCAAAAGGGAACTCGGCGAAGAAGGTACCCAACTCAATGAAATAGGCATTTACTTAACTAAAAACTAAAGTTCGAAGAAGTTATCCTAAACCTAGAGGCAGGAGAGCCGTGATGGATGTATAGTAAAAATTCATCGCACTTCCAAAAAAACAACTGAGATACCACTTAAAAATACTAGATTCAAAAAATAAAATAAAATCCTCTTATAAATATATGAAATTAGAATATCTTTCAGAATAGCTGTTTACAAAAAAGAAGGTTGAGAAAGTGATGAGCCGTTTTCCTTTTTCCAAAAAATTTGCAACCTTTCATAACTTAAAAAATCACAAATAAATATTAAGCACGTTTTGTAAGTAAATAATTTCTTATAAAATGGTAGAGTAGTAGAGCCCATTTAAGGCTTTTTTAAAGAGCTCTTTTTTTAAATTATATGAAGAGAACTTAATATACTTGAAATTTGATGTCTTCACGATATAAGATTAAGGAACCTGGGAGATGGCTGTTTCATTATCTCAAGATGTCACTAAGAGAGGGTATATTTATAAATTTTGCTGCAGGGCTCGCTGACTTTATTTAGTAATTGACTAACTTAATTAAGAAATGCTCTTAACAAAACTAAGGTCTAAAAATAGAATTAACGGTAACATCGAAAATATAGTTAACTCGAGAGAAATTTTTTAGAGTTTAAAATAAGTGGAACTGGGTTTTGTATTATTTAAGGTTCTGTCTGTAGGAGTGACGTCATATAATGGTAAATAAACTGAAAATAATTTATAGAAGAATTAAATTTGGAGGTGTATTTGAAAGACCGAAGGGGCTAACGGGACTTACATTAAAAATGTCAACGAAAGGCAGTTATCCGTTTCTCCTCCTTGCAAAGCAAAGGACGTTAAAGAGAAATAGTTGATATATAGGTTATATCAATGCTGCTAAGTTAGAGGTTAAAGTTTAACAACTTATCTGTTCAAAGGCCAAACTTAATCAGGCACAGCCCGCATACTGGGTAAAAACACCTATTTACTAAATTTATTTAATTTTACTGCCCTAGGACAAGAGATAGTTTCATTATAATAGACTGCTTAATCTTTATTTTCCCTAGGCAAAGAGGGATGGTGAGTTGTTGTCCTCCACCGAAGAAGTTTTCCCTATAAATTAATCGCACCTTCTGGATGTCAATCCGTATACAGCATAAGTTAACTCTTTCTTGTAAAGTTAAATCAATCCATCTTACTTTTCGTTTAATAACAATTCCTATAAAAAAAAAGTTTTTTCCTATTAGTAGTTATTATCTTTATTTGTATATCTATTAATTTATTATAAAGTATTAAACTAATATAATAATTATTTGAATTACTTTTACTATATTTACTATTTATATTGTGATCTTTATAGATAACAGCATTGTTATACGGTATAGTACGGTTATAAGGTTCAAGAAATATTCTAGGCTTTTGTGGCTCAAAGAAATTTTATATTTATCCGCTGGGTGTGCACTCACTCCTCTTAGCACTTAGCGGTCTTTGCTAGAGCAGTGTGTAGTGCCTTGGCAGTTATTCTTACTGGTAATCTAATACTGTTAGAGTCGGAGTTATAAGACTAAGTCTAACAATAATTAGTCTATGATAACTTTAAATATAAGTGTTTACCTTTAATATCTAAATCGTTTTTTCTGCATATTACGGATAAATGTGACGGTTATTCGTTTAATTTGTTTTCCTAAGTAAACTGTACGGGCAGTCAGGTTAGCTTGTCATTTATAGCGAGTTAAATATTGACAAAATAGTTACTTTTCTTTTTTCTCTTGTTGTTAAAAGCGATAAGCTAAGTAGAATTGCATTGTATGTGACTAACTTAAATGATTAAAGACTTAGAGCTACCTTATATAATATTTTAGGCATATAGTGTTCAAGATACTTGAAGCTCTTGTTTTTGAATACTTAAATGTACACTTTGAAAGTGTTCCACGAGTCTAGTATTAAGTTTCTTTCAATAAAGCCCAGTAAGAGAGTTGACAACAAATAAATTAATAAGTTTGTCTGGGTTAGTGACAAGGGTTTTTCCTAAAATAAGGACTTTATTTGCACCACTTGTCCCTGGTTTACTATACTCGCTTGACCTGCCCCAATTGTGTATTCCTCATATTTAAAAGTTAGTGCATAAATACCCCTTAATAATTCTCTCTCCCATAGTAGCATCGTAATTGTCTCAAAAAACCGCAGAGTAGAGGAAATGAGTTGGGCACGAACTCCTGTCATTTTGCCTAGGGTGGTGAAAGACCGAGCCCTTTTATAAATTGTTACTAGCCAAGACTCTCCGGATCCTAGCTCTCCATTTAGGGCACTGAGCCCTTGATTTCTTAATTAGTTTATTAACAAATTTTTTTTAATTTCCCAACGTGCTTCAGTCGTTATGGATAAAATAAATTGAAATGGTTGTCTCCCTGCGATGGGACATTAAAGTCAAGTCCAATCAGTCAAAGTTTCATGTACTTTATTAATCACAAATGTTTTTTTAACTACCTTTTATTGTAAAAGCAAATAAGTTGTCTTTTCTCATGTTCTTAATAATTATAGAATTTGTTATTTATTTGTTTGGATGTATGTAAAAGCCTCTGTAATAAAGTTATATAATGAGTCATTTCAAACTTTATAATGATTGCTATTCGCTTAGTAAATTTGTATTGCAAGTATAACCAATTCTTATTGATAATTAATGTTATTATTATAATTATGAATTTCCATGGGAAAACTGTGTGGAATGTAGTAGGTGGGCTAGTGAGCTACAATTTTATACTAAAGTTAGTAAAATGCTGCTTGCCTAAGGAGGTCTTTGATGGGTTCATTTATATAGTTTCGGTGTAAGTTGCTCTGTTGGCGAACCAGAGCGTCTTAATAGCGTTTGAGAAAAGATGTCTTTTAGGGGTTTATAGCCGATAAGTAACGGTGTACGATTAGACTCACGTCATACCGGTCAGACCATGAGCTCGCCTAGTATCAGTACACTTTTAAAGCACAGCTGATTGTTTACTGTTGGTCTACTCCTCTAAGTTTATTTAGTGAGAAAATAAAAAGAGTTCTTTTACAAAGAAAAATTTAATTAAGAGGGAGAGGAAGACGAGATGATCTACTTGCCAGCATCTTGACGCATGTTGAAATTCAATCTTTAGTTAATGAAGATCCAATTCAGATGATAAAATTGTTTCGAACCAAAAAATCTAAAATGGTGCCGAATTAACAACCGCAAGGTTACTCAAACATTATATACTATAAAATATATATACTATTAAAACTACTATCGCGATTAATGTTAAGTTTTATTTTTGGCGGAAACCCCAATCTGTATAGAGCTGAAAGAATCCTTAAGTTGGTGGATTGATTCCTTAGGTCTAAAAGAAATAAAATATTGGGAAAGTAAGAAGAGCTCACTTTGACTTCACAACTCGAACTAAGAGTGCGTACTGACTCGCCATGCGTATCAGGGCTTGAACTTCTCCGGAGCACGTTGTCTCGTAGATCGGGGTGGTTACAGCCATGCATTTTAAAGTTAATTTTTACTTGAAGCGCTTGTTTGGAGCAATGCTTCGCTTTTTTTAGCATTCTTGGCTATTGTTCTGACCACAGTGATAGAGGCTACACCCATGACTTTCTTCCGAAATTACTTGCTTCTGTTAAGATTCAGAACTTTTTAATAACTTAGGCTCAGTCCCCATAAAATCCAAGGTGCCGGTCTTAAGGATAAGACACCCATTCGGAGCAAAAGAAGGCAGTACATATATATAAAAAACAGATGCAAGAGAAGACCAATCACTGGCGTGAGTTTTCAGCACGACATTAACTATAATCTTGGATGAAATTGACCCAGTGAAACTGGAAGTATAATACACCTGTACCGATCAAAGAGAGGCTAGCGCCTTTCAAAGTCTCTACTACCTCTAGTTCCAATATATATTAAGGAAACTTTGATATACTTGCTAAACCATTACTTTAATAATAACTTTGAAATTTCCTTACTAGGGAATAATATTATAATTAATAGGGCTATAAGAGGCTATAACTAACCAAAAAGCCTGGATTTTCATTAAAATAACAATTTTACTATGACAGTACTAGGTATATTAATCCTCAGCCGTGTAGATGTTACTGTAGTGGAGAGAAGCGAATTTAACGTATGTTTGTTGGTTACTAATGTATTGAACAACGCCGGGCCTATAGAGTTGTGCAATAGCTCTAACTAGGTAGGCATCATTAGCTCTTATGGCTAATGTTAATTCATCATTAGGTATATCCATATTAGAGTGTATTACAGGCGAATGTAGTTGCTGATCGATAGAATGAGGGCTAATAACACCCTATTCAAAATCTCAATCTCAAAGAAAAAATACCGAGACCTCAGAATAGGACAATTTATCCACTGAGAAATTTCAAATATAATGAAAAGTATTGAATAAATTATATTGTTGGACGCATAATGGTAAATCTTTTGTGGGATCGCTCATTACAAACAGTGACAGAGCTAAAAAGCAGGAATAACTCACTTTTGGAAGGCATTGCAATATTTAGCTTAATACTTTATCCTTAAATGAAGAAATGACCTTGTTATTAATGGTATTAATTTTGTGTTCGTGTGACTTCTTACAGGAATGGGTAAAGAAAAGCTATTGTAAAAGGCACTATAATTAAAATACCTATTTATTCGCCTTGTTACCATACGCCCAAGTAACTGTTTTAATACTGCTGGAAGCTAGGTTATTATTAAAATTGACACACTTTGTGTTTAGAAGTAAATATAAAAGACAATTAGCGATGAGTTGCACGCATGAACTACAATGCATAAATTCATGAAGTAAATTTTGGTTAGTACATGCATTACCGTTTGTGAATTTGTTACTAAATTACCACAATTCATGATAGTAATACATAAACACCAAAAAAACGCTTATCACACTGTAAACATTAATTTTTAATTATAAGTTAACATACCAACAAAAAAATAAAACAAGATATATATCAAAGCAAAAAACAATTCAATATTATAAAAAATTCATAATACAAAACACTTTTCTAAAACCTAAAGCGCCAAAAGAAAGTGACTTGCGAATAGACCAAAAAATTTTAAATAAAGCAGCTCTCATTAATCTTTTAAAAACAACAGTTACCCAGACAAAATAAACATAGCAAGCTTGGGCAAAATTTTTTTGCGAACTATGTTACGGTGGCTATGAAAATATATAAAACGAAACTAAATCTTATATGACTCATAGCATACGATCTTATAATACATCAAATCTAAAATAAGTATTCTAAAATTTAAAAATAAGTAATATAAGTTACTTTTTAAGGTACAGCACTTTGCCCGAGAGTAAAACCCTATAGCGTTCCTTTCTTAAGAGCTCCAGAAATCGCATGACTATTACCTTCTATAACGTAAATTGCCTACCTAAAAAAATTGTAATTTACGCAAACAAGATATTTAACCAATCATTCAGTATTTTTCCTATCAATTAAAGGCTTATTGCCAAAAAAAAGTTCTGTGGTTTCTTAAATATAAAATATATAACTTCCGTGAGTATACTGAAGACTGAAAAGGCGCATAAGGTTATCCTTTTTTGATTTTCCTCCCGATGTCTCCGCGTTTGTCTGTCTGGCTCCATAACATTGGTGAGACGCTTACTCCTGTGCTTAGCAACTCGAAGTTTCAAGAAACGGGTATAATTACCCCTAAAGAATTTGAAATAGCAGGGGACTATTTAACCTACATGTGCCCCACGTGGAAATGGTTATTTTATTTTAAGCATTAAATAACTCGTAGTGCCCTTGCTATTGTTTGCTATTATATTCGCTTGCTTTAATCACTTAGCACCTATTTGTAATGGTAGTTTTTTATTAATTCTTAGTTAGGATTATTTGACTGTATCATGCTTGAAATACTAAAGGTGGATACTTTTTTTGCTTAATTTTTCTTTGTATTTAGGTGCACCTGTGAAAAAGGAAAGCTAAAAACTTATTTATCCAAAGATAAACAATTTTTGCAGACAAAAAATGTTCCCTGTCATAAGAGAGTTTCTGAAATTGATCTCCTCGGTGAAGAAAAAGTGGTTGTCGAATCGGATGGAGAGGAATGGGTGGATACACAAATTCTTTCCGGTTTTATTTTGAAAATGAAACTTTTATATATTTAAAAGGTTTTAATGGCTTAATGGCTTAATTTCTACTAGAATTTCATTCTACTGTAGAGGGAGCCACTGATGATATACAAGTCATAGAAGGTTTTTTTGCTGTGAATTTTATTATTCTTTAAAATCCTTTTACTAAATAAAATAGGAAAAACGACAAATGCTGGAGATATTAGTGGTTTATATTATATTCTATATTTATTATATTCATAGCCTTTATGGTTTTGATATTGTTATTATGCTATTATTACTTTGCATTTTTATTCACTTTTATACTTTTTTAGATACGTTAGGTCAACTTGCAATCCAGGAAGTTGCAGAAAGTGATTCGGATTGTGACATTGAAGACCTGGAAGCAGCGGCGTCTGACTTTAAGGAAGTATTTGCTGTTGCACCAAAACCGGTTAATATTTTCCTCTTAACTTGTGAACGTATTGTGCGTGTTATCAGTCTTGTGTTACTTGCCCCATCCGTTGCATATTTATAGCAAGGAGATAACGAAAATGTTGTTAAAACCCGTACTTATGATATTACGATAACTTACGACAAGTATTATCAAACGCCCCGTGTGTGGCTTACCGGCTACAACGAGGTTTTTAACATTTCTTAATTATCAGCATCTATCTCATCGGTATTTAGAATGTACGTATGCACCCCCTCTAGCTTGGTGAACCTTTAACCCGGCAGGAGATGTTTGAAGATTTTAGCCAAGACCACGCCAAGAAGACGGTAACCTACGAAACTCATCCTCAGTTGCCTTGCAATATGATGTCTATTCATCCTTGCCGCCACGGCAAAGTCATGAAGCGACTTTTACAAAACTATAAGGGATCTACTCCTGTTAATGTCCACTTGTATTTAATTATATTTTTGAAGTTTGTTCAGTCGGTGATTCCTACAATCGAATACGATTTTACAAAAGAATTTGACTGTGGCGGAGGGGAAAGATAAATGCCGTTTTTTGTATTAAAAATTATTTAATGAGATCTGCCACTACTAAATTATATATTCCAATTTCTTTGTGTTACGTTAAAAAGCACTGTGGTTTATTCTTCTCTGCCGTTGTGTTAGCTTTGACCTAATTTAGCTTTTAACGTTAATAAATTGTTCCAACTTAGTTTATTTCTCACTTTAACGTACCTTTTGCCAACCTAATCATCTTCAAAATAAGGTACGTATGTACTAGCCAGGTTTTTCGTCACTTTTTTTAGTTTGAGATTTGAATGGCTCGGTGCAAACTTTAAAAGAGTCGTAACTCAACACTTAATTCTCCTAAGTCTTTTTTGTTTACCCACTTAAAAAAAATTCAAGAAAAGAAGCGGGCTTTAACCACTATAAAAAGCATATAAAAAGCAGGAAAAGCTCTTGCCGTTTAGCCTATAGTAATAAGAGAGGACCGTTGAAGAAAGTTCAACAGTTTGGAAGGTCAGAACTTTCGAGGCCAACTAGCAAGGAATGGTCAGATACAAACAAACCGTCTATTGTTTGGTGAGCTCTGTTTAACGTGCCCACTATTAACTAAATTCCATCTGTTTAACTATTAACTTGGGTCAGTCTTAATTTATTACTAATAGAAAGTTTCTTCCAGAGCTCGCAAAACCACCGATTACACATAGAAAGCGTGCCATGAGTATGTTAGGGCTTACAACTCTATCGTGGTGCAACAAAGAGTGGTTTTTGTGAGAAGGAGAAGAAAAGCGGCGAGACCCATTTTTAAATTTTTAAAAATTTAGCTTCTAATTCATGTCGTGTGTATTGTTTATAATTAAGAATTGCATCCTTATGCTAATCCTACAAGTATATTTTTATTATAAACCATAAGATTATCAGCAGGAAAGCTTAGAAATGTGACGTTAGACGTTATTTAAATTTTCGGCTAGCGTAATTGTCCCTACCGAGCAAGCCTGCCTTGCGCGTTCATTCTGGGCTCATTACATCCTTTTTTTAGATAAAGGCTTTTAGGTTTGTCATAAACTGGTAAACGTTACTGGAAAAAGACTTGAGAAAGAAATCGGAGCTAGCACCCTTTTATATGTCTGTTAAAGTTTAAGCAATAACTTCTATAAGTTTATTTTTTCGCGAAAAAAGTATTTTAGGATTTTCAAGATGGGAAAGTTCACTTTATTTTATCAAGGTTGTCGGTAAGTTTTATCTTGCTATGCAGTTCACTACGAATATACCAGTTGTCCCAGAAGGGGTGGTTAGGCTAGTACAAAGGTTATTGAACAAGCTAAGTTGTCTGTAAATCTAGATATTGCTCTCACTATTAATCACTCCTCAAAAGTTAATCTCTTTTCTTTTGTTAAACAAATTAGCGTTTAAGATTCAAATTTAAACATGATTTTCCTCGATATATCGTTAAGATATTCGCAATAGTTTTAGTAATATTTTGAATTATATCAGTTAATACTTAAAAGCGTATTAATAATTACCTGGCAGAAATAACTACTATGCTTGCAATCTTAAACTCACGCCCCCTGAACTGGATGAGAAAATAATTAACTTATTGACCGCTGCTAGCATTCCACCACGTTGAAAAGTGGAGGACCACATAAAGGAGGTGAAAACAATTTAAGGCACCCAGTCCTAACAACTGTATTGTAGATGAATAGTATCGAGCCTGTGTCCCCTGTACTTTACTCGCACTCAATAAGGGAACAAACCCTTTGGTTCAATTTCTAAAAAATGATAGATTACAGTGTCTAGAATTCAGGAGGTTTCCTGGGAAAAAAGTAACTCTTAGCCCTCTGAGCTCGCCATGTTTGAATATGAAACAAACCCTTGATTAGGGTATAGAAAGGACTAGAAAAAAATCGTGTTCGACCGCGGATCTCTCAGTGGGGTGGCTTAACGCGCTAGAGGACTTTAAACAACTTCCAGTCATAAGGCTAAAAAAAGAGGATATAGTGTGATTACCTTTATTAACGGATTATAGTGTTTTATTGCAGTGTGTGTTTAAGAGATAATAATTCAAGTCCTATAAACTCTTGAATTAATATCGCAAAATAAGTTTTTAACTTTTGAAGATATAGTATATCGTCATTAAAACGAGGTACCTCTCGGTTAACCCAGCTTCAATGTTTAGTCACACGCTTTAAATTCCTATACTTCCTTTTTGCATAAATAATTTGCGTCCAGTATATGCACTCCCTAGAAAAATTATAGCAATGTTTTACCTAAATTTGGGTTTTAGATATAAATAACCACACTTTATTCTCTTTTCAGTTTTATTTCTTTAAAAAGTATTAGCATACTACGCTAGAGCATTGAAAAGGAGCCCTATTTATTTCCTTAATTAGCATACAACACTTTTCATTTTCCTAGTACGTTTAAAAGTACTCTGATAAGTTTCTGAGAAAATTTTGTAAAGAGGTTTCTAGGTATATAAATTTTAAATTGATTGACTCTGAGGCTATGATATTGCATTGGTGGTGCTAAAACCTTATTTGAGTGACCCACATTTAGAATGCGTGTGGACGATGCACTTTCGTATCTGAGGAAAGCAGCAGCTCAAATCCCAAGGGGATCTATTCTTTCAGCTTTGCTCTTCGCACTCTATGTAGTTGCCAGTAAAATATTATTCGCTGATCACCTTTTAGACAGAGAAAATAGCGATTGTTCTACGGTATAAGCTTATTTAGTGCCACCTTGAGGTACTTTGTGAAAAACAAAAGTGACTCTTTTTTCTTACGTTTTTAAAAACTTCGAAGTCAAGAGACACGCGCTTTAAAATTCTTTTATTATAAAGACCGTGTGGAAGAAATACGAAAAAGTAACCCCATGGACTAGTGGCATTGTTTTCTTATCTTTGGCTCAATGAAATTTTCAGCGTTGCGGCCCCACAATGCGTTCCTTGACTGCTAAGAGCATCAAAAAACGGGACTAACTGCTAAACGTATGAATTGTGCCGAGATTCAGACAAACTACACGAACACCGCGCTCAATGTCCACTTCATATTTAACTGTTATCCCGAATATCTCTTACGCTTAGCAACAGCTGCAATTATTGCTACCCACGCGGCTCGAAATAGCCGAGTCGCAAGTCGGAACGGCTAAATTTTTGAGGGGGGTAACCCATCGTGCCCATTGGTTAAGGGCGATCCGGTATGAGGACTAATTGGTAGAGGCATCTCGCTCATATAGAGCGTGAAAAGCAACCGTGAGAAGGAAGCCTTGCGGAACACCCGTTTGGTGGCGAGATAGCGATAATACTATCTCCACTTGCACGTCGTAAACCTGGTCATTTAGGTTCGACTTGAGCACATTTTAAAGGTCGTGCAGATGGCCAGAGTATGCAACTTTCGTAACAGGCCTTCATGTCATATCCGGTCTATTTTAGACATTAAAAAATTAAATCCTCGGTTGTTCAATCGTTTAATTGAATTATTAGGTGAGTCGTTGAGTATAACCTTTCAAATGCAAGTTGAAACTACGGTAAAACTTCTCGGGCGTCAACAATTGCCTCGAAACATTTAATATGCCTACTTCAGCTACCCTCTCAGTTGCTGACAAAAGACCGATGGTCGGTAACTGCGAGGCTTTCATGCCAGTTGTGGTGTCCTTTGTGGCCTTATGACGATCGCCATTTTTCTATCGCACTGGATAAAAGACGAAGGCCATCACCGAGTTGACCAGGCAACATAGATGATTTATAGCCATCTCCGGCATTTGTCTAATCATCTTTTGTCAGGACTCGGTAGTGCTTGGCGATTTCTTTGATCTCAGCTGTGGTAGACAGCTCTAGAAAACCGTAGACAGAGAACTCAGCTAAAACTAATGTCCTGTAAGTCCAGTTGGTTTATCTAATCTTTTTATTGTCATCCCGATAAAGTTGATATTTAAATGCTAACTGCTGATATGCTTCTCTGTAATAGGGTTAATACAAATTAGGATAATATAGATTATAATGATATATACTTGTAAATCTTAGTAGTCTCTACATAAGTTGTTAAATAATCAATGACCAGAGTAAACTTACAGAAATAGGACCAGTATCATTTATATTAAGCGATGTAAAACTCTGCTCAACGGACATTTTATGAACAGTTAGGATGTAGGCGGTGAACACTGTGAGCAAAAAGATGACCATACATTTTTGCTTTTCGGCTAAGTAGCACCGTTGCTAGGTGGTGGAAGGTGTATACCAGCAATTTCTAACTTGTCTAACGAATTACTATAAGAAGGAGGGAACGTTGTCACCGTTCTCCGACACTTCGCTTAAATGTTAATCCCCTCATTTGTTTAGGGGTGCCATCAGTCCTTATTTTATAATGTCAGTGTATCGGTTTAGTTTATTTTGAACGCATTAAAAAAAGAATAACACTAGTTTTGTACTAAATAATTTTTGTTATTTATTCTTTGACCGCTAAACTGGATAGTTTCTGTGCACAAATCCAACAGTATTTTTTCCTACCTTAATGCCCTGTAGAACTGGCAGTGTTATTAAATAGTGTAGGATGCTTCATTTAATAAGAATAGCAAACAACTCACCGCTAGATTAAACCGATTTTATCAGTACATCGCAAAATGCACATTTGGGGAGAGTTGTGTTTCACTGTCCACGCAGGTATCTGTTTTATTGTTCGCATTAATGCCTGAAAATCATTTTATTATGCTGACTCTCCCCTCATTTTATAACTAGTCGAATGTGATAACGCATCTGAATTTTAGAAGCCCTTTCAAACAGTTTCTGTGCACGATTTCGAGCATGGATGAGAACTTCGTCGTCAGAATAGCTAAGTAGCATTAGCTAAGAGGGGTATGTGAGGCGGTATCGCTCTCATGCTAAAGAAGTATTAAAAATAGTCTTGTAACAAGGGTTCTAGGGTGTTTTGAGTGTCGAGCCTAAGTTGTTGCATTGGTTTTCAAAGACCTTTACGGCTAACACTAGCAACCGCGTAGATTTCATTGCGTCTTGCCACAATTCGCCCGTCTAGTAGGTGAGTCTCCTGTTTTGATGCACTCTGCAGTCTAGTAGTTTTCACCT